GGGGAGGGAGGGGAGGGAGGGGATCATTTGGACATGCAGGTTCAATGAGCTGCAAGACTCTTTGCATCGCGATGCAAGAAATGCTTCACTGCTCGATGACAAGCTAAACTTTGAGCAAGCTTCGCTTCAAAACTCATCACTCACCAGCCATGCAGTCGACTTATCACCAGCATTTGACTTCTCATCGTTGCCAAGGGATCCGAGGGATCGCAGACAAGAAACAGAAGACGCACAAGAGAGACACGAAGAGAATGAGAGAGATGTGAGGGATAGGAGAGATGTGCCGGCGCTGGACTTCAATCAAATCAGGAGCAAGGGACAGAAACCAGAACGTCTCAAGGGGCAAGACAGCAAGTCAGCCATGCAGGCAAGAGATGCAAACAGAAGCAACAGGCGAGGGGGAGTAGATTCTTCTGCAGCTCCACCCTTTCCAGATTTTTCATCGGGCGACATCTCAGCATTTTCACCGCACGAGGATTCGTTCGTGAGCGCCGGCAGCTTGAGGAATTCCAGCGGCAGGCAGGTGAAGGCAGGCACGAGGAGGAGGAGAGGGTCAGACTTTACCAACGAGAAGCTCTTCCCTCGAGCCTCGCACGCTCACAGCCAGTCAAGCGAGGAAGCGAATGGTGGACGCAGGCAAGAAGGGGAGGAAGGAGGACAGAACGCGGGGCAAGGGAAGATGTGAGACTGATGCTGCTTCCTCCTCCTCCTCCTCCACCACCACTTCCTCCTCCTCCTCCTCCACCACCACCACCACCTCCTCCTCCTCCTCCTCCTCACAACTCTTCATTGCCAGCAACATGTTCGTGAAAGAGCTCGACGAGTTTGTTCAGGGCAGAAACCACTCGGATCAGAGGATCAAGGTACTCAGCGCGCATGAGAAACTTCGACTGACCGTGCGGGCAGACTCACGACAGTTCGACAGCGGCAGACTTTGTTGACATGTCAAGTTACCATGCATGCTCTGACCTTGACTCTTCAGGTTCTCTTCTCCCGAGACAAAAATCACTTGGAAATAGTTCGCAATGGATATCAGGGACACGCGTGACAGACCTTGGCATGAAGAACGTTGGCCTTGAGATCAAGAACATCATCATGTTTTGTCATGATCGTTGTTGTTGTCATTGTCAATCAATCTACTTCTTTGCTGTTACACTTTCATTTACTCATTACAACGCATACAAACATAAATCACAATCCGTCGGATACTCAGGCGACGCAGGGGTGAAGCATCTGCAGTGCAAGATCAGAAGAGGAGGAGCCGGTACAGCAGCAAGTGAGGCAGACAGAGGCGAGGTAAGAGGACAGGGTAGTGAGAGAGAGAAGGGCAGAGAACTGGCTGGACACATATGTTGGTGAGATCTATACGCGAATCCCATTCGTGTGATAGCCGCGCATCTTCAAACACCACAGTATCGCGTCCATTAGACACGCATTCATCGACATCGATGATGCCAACACAGAGGACGCAAGTGAACCAACGGAAGGAGTAGTAGAGAGGAATGGGGAGGAGGTGGTGGTGGAGAGGAGGAGGAGCAGGAGGAGGAGCAGGAGGAGGAGCAGGAGGAGGAGCAGGAGGAGGAGCAGGAGGAGGAGCAGGAGGAGGATCAGGAGGAGGAGCAGGAGGAGGATGAGCAGGAGGAGCAGGAGGAGGAGGAGGAGGAGGACGAGGATCACCTTCGCTCATGCTCACATTGTTCGCGCTTTGTTGTCTCCCCCACTCTATTCCCCCAGTTCACACCGCACGTGAAGATTTCAAACCTCCGGGGCCCGGACGGCTCCGGCGGGTAGCGGCACTGCCGCCATGGCCCGGGCCCATGGGATGTTTTGAAGCCGAGCAGTCACATCAGAGTCTTTTACTAGAAACTTTACTCGAAGTTAAGTTAAAAATCAGTACGAGGACAATCAGGAGAGTCGAGGAGGCTTGACCCTGACACTGTCGCACAGGCCAAACGGCGAGAAGAGAAAAGACAGCGAGAACCAAACCTAAACCTGCCGACTGCTGTCCCCCAAACTAGAAACAATGCCAGATGAGATTTTACTTCCTGTGATGCCAGGTTCTTTACTCAAAGTTAAGTTGGTAGTAGCTCGATCTTGCCAGGTAGTAGCTCGATCTTCAAGGATCATGGAAGTTGAACGATCATCACAGTGATGTCATCGCGATAAACATAGGGAGGGCGATTTTGCCACCTTGTCAAGACGGTCAGTGACTTGCTGTGAGGATGAGAGAGCACCTGTGAGAAGCGACGTCAAGCAGAGCTCGTGCCCCTCCGTCCGCATCCGCATGTTGCCCGACAATCTCGACGCTTTCCTGGCTGGTCAGGACCTGGCGACATCCGATCATCACCCTTGAAGCTCGAGAGACTCGAGCTGTACCTCCCAGAGCCCGTCAGTAGCCAGAATGATGAACTTATGAGCAGGCGAGCAGCTGAGGAAAGTGACTTCGGGGCTTGATGTGACGCCGAGGTGACCAACGGCTTCATCGCCGAAGGAGCGACTGACAGCGAGGCCAGGCAAGTTTGAGCCGGGGATGAAGACTCTCGCCGTCTTCCTCAAGATGTCATTGTGATATGCAAAGCTGTAGAGAGGTGAGTCGGAGGAGGCGAGGCGAAGAGACGCACCTGGGGTTGCTGTCGGAGTCGATAAATTCAGCGTTGAAGTGAATGTTCTGACCGTCGTAACCTTCGTCAACCGAATCTTCAAGCAGCATGATCCTACACCCACAAGGAGTCAGCCCAGAGGGTTTTCCAAACCCTCCCGCACCTCTTCTGCATTTGGTCAATGACGCCTACCCAACCTCCCGAGTCTGTGATCCGTTTCCTCTCTGCCGGGATGCCTGGTTTGTGATCGATGGTGGCATCAATGGATACCAAGGGCGAGTTCTCGCTTCGCCGAGCTCCGATGACAGCTCTCGAGTCACCCAGGTTTGCAAACACCATCGTCTTGTTCCCGCTCCCATCGGGCAGGACGAGAGCAAGGGTACACGTTGAGCCACTCATGGTACAATCCACTTGGTTGAGAAGAGCTCTGCCGGGAAATAAGAAATCACTCCCTCTCAACATGAAAGCAGGATTGTAAAGACCTGTTCACATTGAGAAACCTCGCGATGATTTCGGCTTCGAGCATATGACGTTGGACGACAGAGCTCGAACTGGATCCTTCCGTCTCCGGCTCCCTCTTCTCGTCCTCCATCAAGCACAAGTTTTGAAGGGTTGGCAGTAGTTCTGTGAAGATGTTGAGATGGGCTGAGACTCACAAGGGATCACCTGCTTCAAGATAGTCTCGCACAAAATGTCCTCTTGCTCCATGTCCGTCCAAGACACCAAAGATGCCAACCTGAGCGTCCCCTCTGTTGCAGTTGGCGGAGCAGAGATAGCCGTCCTGATTCAATTTCGTGCTCTCCCCTCGGAAACCAGGGAGAGTGTAAGCGGCGAAATCGAAGTCCTTTGTACAGCCCAAGGCAAGCTTCTTTGCGGTGTTTGATGCCTTTCCATGCAGATCTTCAGCAGCTTTTTCCTTCCTCGCAATCTGATCTCCTTTCTGATCAGGCCTTTCAAGCAAACCCAGACGAGATCTTGCACTTCGAATCAGGTTGAGCAATCTGTGGGTTTTTTTCACTCCGTGACTTCCCTCGAGCATTTTTGCTGCTGTGTACAGCACTATCACAATAATCCACCGACAACAAGAAAGACAACAAGGAGACCAGCAAGATGGGAACTCACTGCTCTGAGAGACTTCTTGCGGCTTCTCCAGCATCTTAAGGCTCTCTCCACTCCAGTAGCCTGCGCAAGTAGAGTGTCGACATTCAAAGAGAACAGCACGAAACATTCACCTTCACTCGGAGCATCCGCGGGATAATCTTGCAACTCAGAGACAACAATCGGCTGTTCTCCAGGTCCGTCGGAGCCTCCTGGAGGTTTTCCAATCGGCTGCTCAAGGTTTGAGAACCAGAGTCTGAAATCGAGGGATCGAGCGTGTACCTCATTCCTCTCACGGAAATAACGAGTTGATCTGTCAGAAGCTCAACAGTTGCAGAAGTTCTCTGATTCTAACACATTCAACCTTGGGCTTTCGACAGTCCCGTTCCCTGTCAGGCCACCGCCATAGGAAATCTCCAGGACACACGCCACACCAGGACCTTCATTCGACAACTGACACAAGAATACTTAATGGGATCAAGACAAAGAATTTTCACCTGCAACAGTTGACCTCGGCCGGCTTCGAACACTTGCGCGTCTTTAGACACGTCTAGAAGAACGTCCTCCAAGCAGGAAGCAGTTCTTGAAAACCAAGGATAAGAAATATTCCACCCTCCCACCACGAGTACCTAGATTTTCTCCTGCTGAACCTGTCTTTCATCAGCTCTACCCAGAACTTGCATCCTTCTCTTCTTGGGCAGCGTCCTCCCCTGCAGACACAGTCTTCCTCGTCGTTTGCCCTGTTCCATTCGAAAGCCTTCAAGGAATCATGGAATCCCTACGAAACAGGTCAGCCTCAATTGTTGAGCTAGTGTCAACCCACCGTTTCTTTGGTATCCTGCATGATCCTTGCAATGAAGCTCTCATCTTCAGCACAGAAAGTGATTTGCAACAGCCGGGTCCTGACATCTCCTTGAATCACTTTGTGTACAGTCCATTCAGCCCCTGGCCTATCATGAGGAGGGATTGACGACTTTTCAGGAAGGAGCACCAAGGAAACACTGCAGAACGAGCTCTCCATCAGAGAGATTCTCGTCGTTCTAAAGCAGCGGGACCATCCACCTGACCCGCTGCTGAAGTCTGTGTAGTTCAATTTGTTTGCGGTGTCGACAATCAACTTTGCAGGCAATTCGTTCACGTGCTGATTATCACGAATCGAAAGCAAGCTCTGGAATAGTTGTGGGATGACTTGAAGGCCACTCGAGTCCCCAGCGGAACTATCACTCTTGGAGAGCGCAGGCGCCTGCATGAGTGTTGAGGGTTTCTGTGACCGTGTTCGTATCTTTGCTCCCTTGATAGTGTCATCACGGCAGGCTGAGTCGAAAGTTCTTTGCAGACTCACGGACTTGTGTAAGAGGAGCAAGTTGCCGGCAGGCACGAATGCACCTCTGTGACTGACTCTTGCGTTAGCAGCCTGCCTGGTGCCAAGCGATTGGCACGACAAGACAAAACTGCACACATGCAGGAAGAGCTTGAAGAAGGCTGGCATGACGTCAACCTCTGATGCTAGTGCAGCTGTTGTCTTAGAGCTTGATTGTCTCAGCTGTCACTTCTCATCTCCTCCTGACACAACTTGGACCTTCTTGATAGCTTTTGTCCCCCTCTGCTTGAGGGAAAACAGTGAGAGGAGAGGGGCAGGAGAATGAGAGCAAGGCAGCTGAGGAGCAGAAGAGTGAGAGAACAAGAGGGTAGATAGACTCAGGAGGAGGAGGAGGAGGAGGAGGAGGAGGAGGAGGAGGAGGAGGAGGGAGGGGGGTGCGGGGGGCCAGGGAGGAACGGAATGGGAGGCAGCACAGCACAAGGGGAGGGAGTCGCAACAAGTTATGGCGGAGTACGGGTGGTTTTGACCTGTAAATGTGGGTGGTGTCTGGTGAAGGTAGGGTAGGGTGCATAGGGAGAAGGAGGGTGGGGTCAGGGAGGTAACTTGAAGGGAGAGAAGGGTGGTAACTTCAGAGGATATTTGACTTCCGTTGACACGAAGCAATGCTAAGCAGTCAGTAAGAATCGCGATGAAGTCATGAGGTGAAGGTGAAGGAGATGAGAGAGAAGATGCTGGAGGACGTTGAAGAGAACTTCCTTCCATGTGCGAAGCATGATGTGAACAACAAGACGACCTGCGATCAACTCGCTGTGTACGCGAACTCGTGGGCACTGCGAAAATTCCTCGAGTATGAAAATGTCCTCAGCTTCCGTCAGAAATGGGCAGAGCGACATCGAGAGCGTCTCTTTGTTCGGCTCACACTTCAAGGATGGCGTGCTATCAGTCGATCAAGGCTTGCGAGGACGAATGGAAGGTCAAGGAGACGAGCGAGAGCAGAATCTTCGGGGGAGGACGAGTTCGACCCAGACGGGGATGAACCTCAAGTGAACGAAGCCTTTGCTCGATTGAGATGGAGCACGTGTCAGAAATCTCTCGCTCAGTGCCAGCAGAAGCTCTTCAGGACCTTGGAGATCCGCCTGAGGACGAGGAGGTTACAGCTCCCTTTACAGGAATGGAGGAGACTCCGAATCAGGTCGTCGAAGTTGCAGCAGGTGGAGCAGCAAGTGACGCGCTCACGATGGAAGGGAGCTGCTCAGTTTGCTTTGAGGGAATGGAAGGCAAGAACACAAGACGCTCATAAGTCCGTTGTTGTTGTCGAAAGAACGTTTGATGTTGCGGAACAGTCGTGTTCTACAACAGGTTACGTGAAAGATCTTATGGAGGTTGAAGAAAGGTGTCACAACATACAGAAGGTTCAGCAGCATGTGAAGCAGCTGCAAGACAGCATATCTAAGTCACGAAGTCTCCGTCTGCAGGAGGCACCAACCACCTCTCCCTTCCCTAATCCTGGCGGCACCGAGGAGTGTAGCATGACACTGCTGCTGGATGAACGATGTTTGGTCGACCCCTTTCAACCCGACCGTTCAAGTTGTTCAGCATTCAGCTCGCAAGGGTTCCAGTCTTGCGCTGCCGTGGCAAGGAGCAAGGAGCTGCTTGCGTTCGTTCCGAGCAGGAGGGAGAAGCCCAGGGGTCTGCCGGCAGGGATCGACTTGCTTCTAGAGTGAAGGAGGTAGGAGGAGCCTCATTGTGATCGCTCAACATGGCAAACTTCGACGTGTGCTCCTGCCTCCAGGAGCTCGTGGATCCACGCGATCTGAGCCGACGACAGGCAGAGAGCGGGCGTGGCCGAGGTTGGGGAGGAGGAGGAGGAGGAGGAGGAGGCAAGTGAAACAGAAGACGGAGGGAAGAAGGAGGGGAGAAAGTGGCAGCGAGGAAGAGGACAGTCAGAATCGCCCGCGCAGGCAGTTTAAGGTACCTGTGCGTTGCTCAAACTATCTCCTGGCCCCTTGACCTCCACTAGCAGCGACGAACATTTTGCATCCTGATCCTTCGTTAAAGACGACACAAGACCCTTCGAGCCTCCCCTCACCTTGTCTCCTCCTTCCCTTCCCTCCCCTCTTTTCTCCTCTTCTCCCCTCCTCTTCTCCTTCATTCCCTCCCTCACCTTCGCTTCGTCCCAGAAGATAAGGTCTGGTAGACCATGGCGCCAAGTCTGAAAGTCCCTTGCAAACCTGCCCTGCTTGTCAAAGTTTGACGGGGACGCGCAAAGAGTCTCACAGGTTGCACACGCATGCAATGACTTCCTTTCCAATACACTGTCAAATTTGTCACGTTGCACGAAGAAGCAATCACGCTGATGTGAGTATTTGTGCTGAACCCACCCGCGCGATGGCGATCAACTCTTGCAGACTGTGTCTGTTCCACTGCACACCGATGCACATTCTGTTCTTGTAGCAATCCCAGTTCTTCGTCAGACGATCGACCAGGGGGCAAACTCCTTCTCCCTCTGCCACGTCACTGATAGAGCTCAGTCGTTGTGAGATCTCAAGTCTGCCCCAGACGTCATGATAGGGCTGCACGTCATTCTGCCCTACCTCCTCCTCTCGAAGAAAGCTGAACCCCCAAAATCCAGCGGACTCTGCGGCAATGCAGAGTGAGGGGAGCATGTGAAAGGCAGAGGGCAGGTGCTTCACTTCCATCAAATCTTCGGGAACGAAAAGGTCGCAAGGGTCCAGGAGGACGTCAGCTAGGAGGACCCCAAACAGCATGTGCCAGATGCCGTTCTCTGTATGCATGCCGCACTTCCAGCCCCCTCCCTCCTCGCTCGCGTAATGCTGCAGAGCTGCGTTCTCGACCTGGAGCAGCGTCAGGTGGGGTCAAGGGATGATGGCGAGCACGTATGGGATGTCGGAGACGATTTGCCGCTGTGTTGCTGTCCTCCTCGTGGGCAAGGCTGCCGGCTTCCATCGGCGGGGAGGGACTGCCAGGACCGGAGGGTCTCGGTGAGAGGCTTCTCGTGCCAGCAGGCATCAGTACCTGAGAGCTTTGAGCAGCGTGCTTCCATGGCGATGCGGAACTCTCCTGTCGATGGAGCGGACAGGGAAAGAGAGAAGGAGAGGGTGAGGGTGAGAGAGCAGGATAGGGAGGAGGCAGCGACAGCAGCACAGCAGCGCGAGGGGAGAGGCGAGGAGAGAGGCGAGGAGAGAGGCGAGGAGAGAGGCGAGGAGATGAGGGGGAGGAGATGAGGGGGAGAAGATGAGGGGGAGGAGATGGGGGGGAGCAGATGAGGGGGAGAAGATGAGGGGGAGAAGATGAGGGGATTGGGGGAGGGGGGTGACCTTGAATGCTCGACTTCTCTAGGTATGCTTCACAGAGCGAAAGTGCTGATTCAAGAGAACCTGGCGGAAGATCATGGAGAGGGAGGGGAGGGCGAACGCAACTACCCGTATGCTGCAGGTCCATCACTTTCCGCAGGAGAAGCTGAGGGGAGGAGAAGTGAACTTTGAGCGGCAAGTCAGCGCTGAGCAGGAGATCTGTCGGGGTGACAGGAATCATCCAAGAGGAGCAAGAAGCAAGTCAGCCCACCGATGACTCGGATTGCTTCTTTGTATCTCTTGTCTCTTTCCAGCAGCCCCACACCGCAGTACAAGATGCGGGCGATGACAGCGTGGCAGGGGTTTGACCTGAAGGCGAGCACGTCGGTCTTGGCTCGCAGAGCAGACTGGAAGATGTTTGCCGCCCGCTCGACGCTCTTGTATGCCGCAAGTGCGTCTCCAACTCTCACTGAGGCTTCCTGAGATCAACAAGAGGGTGAGATTGAAGGGGAGGTAAGGAGACAGAGGAAGAGCAGGAGGAGAAGGATGCAAGGAGAGGTTGAGACGACAGAAACGTGGAGCAGAAGAAACAGGATCACGATCATCAACGCTCAGTCAGAGGCAGAAAGGAATGGAACACGGACCAACTCATCGGACAGCTTGATCGCTGCTTCAAGCTGTGGGAGATCTGACATCTTCTTGCCTTGCGCTTGCGAGGACGGTTCGCTTTCACTCCTTGGAGTTTCGGAGGAGAAGAAAGTTTGAAGGTCGCACATCATCAAGGCCGCAGCGTCTTCCGGTGAGAAACCAGCGGAGGTAAAGAACAAGATCTCAAGACGATGAAAGGATTGCTCGATGCCGTCGGCGATGCTGATGATTAGCGGCGATCTGATTCCTGCGGTTGGCGACGTCAACCTCCTCGCTATATTGTTCGAAGAGATTCCAAGAATGTCAAGAATGGCGTTGGAGTAAACATTGGTGACGTTGCCTTTCTGTCCGATGAGAGTTTGTACACTCCTCTTACGGTCCAATTGCTTATCTCTTGACTTGTCGTCTCCACTCTTCGTCAGGACCTTGCAGATCTCCTTTGTGATTGTTTCTCTATCTTTCAAGCCTGAAACATGCCCTCCCAGTCTGTTTGCGCGTCATCTTTGGACTCATTGCTGTGGTCTTACCGCTCGTAGTACAGCTTCTTCAATTTCGCGTCGTCAAGAACCGGAAGGATGCAGTGGAGCGGCTGAGGGAGATCGCAAACCTGGTTGTACATACAAGTCACCATCATCGTAGCAGGTGAGACAAGGTACATGTTGAAGACGACGCGCAAAACCATTCTCACAGAGTTCGTTGGCTGCTCCTCTGACCTGCCCAACAAGAATCAGATTCCATGTCTTCCCTCCCTGTCAAATACTTCCGGATCATCGCAAGAAAACCAGCGACAAGCAGACGCAGGGATTCCTCCACAGGCTTGGTGAGCAGAGTTGCGTAGGAAGGCGAAGAGGAGCTGGAGGAGAGAGCAGGGCGAGCAGGTCAGAAGGAGAATGGATGTGAGGTGCGGATGAAGAAGATGAGGAATGGAAGAGGCTGGTCTTATGACCATCGGGAACAAGCTTTAGAACCACTTCACCTGCGCACTCTCACTCATGCTCTTCAACTTGTTGAAGGCCTCGAGGTCCTCGGAGCTGAGCGAGTGCTGGTGGACATGTCGTCGTCGGAGCAAGCACTTCAAGTTGGACAGATGCCTGTGGCAAGTGCCCTCAGCCGTCTGACGTTTCAGCAACCTCGCTCGCCTTCCGTCCACGGCTGGGGATCGAGAGCTTCTCCAGATCGGAACCGCCAGCTTCTCGCAGGATGGTGACCCTCCTCCGAAGAGCTGCGAGCATTGAGAGGAGAAGAAGAAGATTAGCAGGAGCAGAGCAGGAGCAGGAGCAGGAGCAGGAGCAGGAGCAGGAGCAGGAGCAGGAGCAGGAGCAGGAGCAGGAATACCATGCTACGGAAGGAAGGGACGTCCAAACTAGAGCACTTCCCCCATGTGTGAGCATGAACGCCAATGCCTGGGGGTCTTCTATCTGAGAACACGTTCCTGTACCCGATGCGAAAGCTTCGGCTCCACCATGGCAGGAGGCAGCAGCCGTCAGGAGACAGCAGGCAGTAGCGCTCCTGCTCCTTGAGGGTGACGAGAGCGCCGAAGTTGCCGTAGCTCTGCTTCTTGCGTGGGTGTACTGGTCGTTCTGAGATGAAACGAAACTCCTCCTCGCCACCATCCTCGTTCTGATCGCCCTCTGAATCGATGCAGATCACTTCTCTTACCTCCTGGTGCTTCCTTTCTTCCTTCACTCCTCCTGCTCCTGCTCCTGCTCCTGCTCCTGCTCCTGCTCCTCCTCCTCCTCCTGCTCCTCCTCCTCCTCCTCCTGCTCCTCCTGCTCCTCCTGCTCCTCCTGCTCCTCCTGCTCCTCCTGCTCCTCCTCCTTCCTCATCTTCGATGCAGATCTCATGCGACGTCCTCGTTCTCGGGCTCTCAGTGCTCTCCGACGATGCCTTGCTTCCAAAGAAATCTTTGATCGTCCTAGCCTTGCCCTCCTCCAGCTTGCTCCCGTCCTCTTTCTGCTTCCCACGCGCGCCTCTGTTCCCTGCTTTCTTGCCCATCCGTTGATCCTCCTTTCTCTCCTCCTCTCCTCTGTCCTCTCCCTCGCTTCCCCTCCTCCTCCCGCCCTCCCCGATCCGCCCTGACTATTTCCCTCTTCCTTCCCCCCCTTTCCCTCCTTTCCGCCCCTCTAGAGCCCTAGTAAGTAAAATGGGGAACGGGGGTGTGGGGGAGGCGGCAGCGAGTGGAGGGGGAGAGGGAGGAGGAGCAGGAGAAGATGGGCGGTGAGGAGACATGTCCGTCATGACATCGGACAACTTTAATCTAGATGAAACAGCGCTCATGGCATGTCAGGTGCAAGTGAGTTTTGCTCTCCTGAAGGTGATGGACACGCGTCGTGGGCCATGGAAGTCGTCCAGGTCGATGCCGTGCGTGTGCTCAAACCTCGCCCTGCCCGTCACTACTTGGAGGCTTCTCCTGGGCACCAGGACCTGCGGAGGGTGAGGAGAAAGGTGGGATGGGACGGGAGGGACGGGAGGAGAAGTGATAATCTACCTTGATTTTGTCTTTCCTTGCGAATGTCATGTGGCAATCTAGCAGAAATTTCATGGATGGGAAGGGGACGAGGCAGAGGTGTAGGAGAGGGAGGAAGAGGAGGTGGTGGTGAGGAATGGGACGAGGACGAGGACGAGGACGAGGAAAAGGAGGAGGAGGAGGATTCAAGATTGCCTGCTCCCAAGGAGAGGTTAACTAGGATGTCTCCTGAAAGGAACCGGTCGTCAAAGTGCGCTGCTAGCGAATGCCCCTGCATGGCGCTCAATCTCTCTCGACGTTTTTCCCAGCGGCATTACCTTGTGCTTCTCGTAGGAGTTGGCGTTGGCCTCGTTAGGATGGAACTGAGCGATCACCTCGCACCTTGAAGGGAATCAACCTCGGTCGACCTTGCTGCTACCCGACCTGTTGATCCATTTCTCGATGATCGCTCTCAAGAAACTCGGGAGGTCCTCCTCCCCTCGCTCGATGCTGCAAGGGCGGACGCTCCTCCGCTTCAGGTCTGTGACTACTCCCCACCGCTGCGTCATGCACTCCCCATTGAAGGACGACAGTTGCCACCTGCTGCTGCTTCAGTCCAACGGAGGGAGGGGAGAGACATCTAACTTGTTCCCTGTGTCCAAGCTCTGCAGCAGCAACCCTTCCTCATCTTCTGTGATGAAGTCAGGAAACTGGAAGAGCCCCGGGACGTCGCGGATCGCTTTCGGCTTCATGAGCCCGGGCAAGTCTGAGGATGCGGTGAGAGCTTCAGATCAGAACGGCAGGTCTACCAGACTGCAAGCAAACAACTCCTCTGACTGCAGGAATCCGCTCTTCCTTCTCCGCAGAATCCTTACGTTGGGCGGGAGAAGAATCGACCTCAGCAGACTCTTTCATGCTCACCCGTCCAGACCCAACGTTCCTCACCTCTTCATTCTTGCACGCGGAGGAAAAGAGGTGATCCGTGTAGAGCAGGGACAACGGGACTGCCGCTCCAACATCATCCGTCAATGTACCAGGAGCTAGAGTACCTCTCTTCGAACACACGGGACAATCACCAAACGACGAACCCTTTAGGAAGGGGTCAGATTTCACCGCACAACCGCAAGACTCACAGTTTCAGTTCTGAGTAGCTTGCTAGAAGTCTTGTCAGGTGTCTGGGGAAAACATACAAAGTTTCAGGTTGCTGTCAGCACACTTCAAGGCCTTTTAAATATCATAAAGCTATATTATCAACCTCAATCTGAACATCGCTGCTCGACCTGGTCCTGCTGTTTTTGTCCTCACCCTCATGATCTTCCTTCGACTTGGCAACTTTTTGATCTCCCCTCGCTCCCCGTCGTCTTCCTCGCGTGTCTTCTGACCATTCCCTCTCCTCTCTCTTCACTTTCCTCTCTCCTCCCCTCACCTTGCCTTCTCGTTGCCTCCGCTTCATCCGCCTTGCATGTTTCCAATGTTTTGGCAGTTACAAACGTAACCGCCAATATATGGCATGCAGCAAAACGGCGGCACACACCTCTTGTACCGCTGACGCAGACAGGAAGCCTCTCCTCGAGCTCACCGTGGCCCCTCACCTGAAGGTTTCATGACGCATCCTATCCACCGGCTGGAGGTCGGAGAGCTTCTCAGGTGGGACCTTGCTCGGCTCAGTGGCTTCTCCTCGATCCCTAGTTCCCATGCTGTGTGTAGAATCACAAACATCAGAATCAGTACCTGCATGATAGCAAGCATTCGGCTCATATTGCGAGAAGGAATCATACTTGCTATTAGTGCACTAGACTCAAATGGATTCATGTTGGCGAGAGGTGATTATAAATGCAGGCAGATTCACAATGGCAGGCAAACGCGAGATCGGCATCGACGAATCTTTAAGATGTATTTGAGCACAAGAAACACACTGGCAACATTCCTGCATGATGTTTTAATGATCATTCTGTCACTCATGATCCTCATGTCTTCTGAATGAGGACCCCAGAGAACCTCAGTGCTGTTCCTCTGTCGTTGGCCGCCTTCACACAAGAGGAATGGGGCTGGAGGCTCAAATTCGAGCCATTCTCTTTCCGAAGCACGAGAATTCTTGTGTTTTGTAACTGGTCTTGAGAACCAACCGTGCATCAACAAATCACTTGCGCTCCTTGTGTTCAGAGTATGAATATAAGATACAAACTGTTATTCTTTGTTCTCAAGGTGTGGCGAGTATTCAAGATACGATGGTCTGAGATTCAGTTCACATGATCTACGGGGATTCAGACAATGAGTGCATCGCCCTCCTTCATTGCGGTTGTAGCTCGAGCTACTCCCACCAGTCACCTTCACCATGTTCGACCTTCCCAAACAAGTTTGTGGAGGACCCCCCGAGATCCCGAGATAGGGGTGTGTAAGATGGGGTCCTTTCGTTGTTATAGACAGGGGTCTGGAAAAGGGGGTGGTAGATATCGGAGTTAGCCGGATCCTCTAAAAGAGGTGGGTGGTCGCTTGATATTTACTATGGTGGGGTAGCTGACGAGTTTTTGAACATAGAAAAAACAAAGTCACTGATAATTTGAAATATCCCCGGATGTATCTTTGAAAAATAAAAGTATTGTGTGAATTGTGCCGAAACTGGTTGACTGTACCAAGTGAAACAAAGATATATGTTTAATAAAGTTTTATGTATAAAAGATGACAGAAAAAAATCTAAAATTAGTATCTAAATTATTTTTAATACGCGAGGTTACCACCAGGGGGCGAGGAAAAGGTTTCTTCCTAGTAAGGGTAGTCGAAAGGACCCTTCAGGGATTTTAGGGGGTTGGGTGGGTAGTATGCAGGGGTAAAAAGGGAGCAAGGGGATGAGGGTAGGGGTCCCTTCTATTTTTTGTCCCATGTCTAGGGGTGGGGTTATTCCGTGAAAAGCACTGAATTATGGGTCTTGTTCAAGGTGAAAGGGGGGGTAGGGGGTTCTGAGAAGAGTGATCACAAAAAGGATGGGGGTATAGGGTAGGGGTGGGGTAAGCCGCAATGGCGGCTGTGTAGGCATCGTGGACAACTGAAGAGGACATGTCAAGAGGCGAAAGAGAGGAGTTGTGAGCACAAGACAAACAACAGACTGACCCGAGAAGAGTGTGCATCGTTTCCTTGACGATGAGCCCAAAGTGAGAGGCCAGGGCTCGGACCAGACATCCAGTTGCTTGCGAGAGCTGCCTTATTCCCCGGTCAGCTACAGAGTCGTACGCGCAGCTAAAGGTGAGAATCCAATGCTCTCTCATCGTCTTCATCCTGGTTCTTATACCAAACTGTAAATCATATGCTCGCGACCAAGATTGTTTCTCTGCTGTTTCCAGTCACACGCAGCCGTGAGCAGGTCGAGTTGGTGCAAGGGGCAAGCTGGAGAGAGAGGGAGAGCAAGCGAGCATTGCATCAACAGATGGCAGAAACCGTCCTAGCTAAGACGGGGATAGTGCAGCAGCCCGGTTGTCTTGAAATCGACAAGTTGAATGCATTGGACGCTGTATTCCTATATTGGTGGAATTATTGTAGAAAACTAATGCGTAAACAGGCACCATTGCTGATCTCAATTGTCAACTTTGGTCATCCCCCAAGAAATTTATGGGCAAATTCGAGATATCTGAAAGAGAAAGGATTAGATCTCCAAGCCTTCATTGCTAAGGTGACCGTTGACTCTTCCGCGTCATGCGGCTGAAATATGTCCTCAGGATCCGTGCCAGGACACTCCTGAGGTGAAGTGTAAACAGGACGACGTTTATCAACTCGTCCAAGTAGAAAACAACGTGGTGGGTCATTCTGAAGCGGAATGTGCTCTTGTTGAAGCGATTCACCAGGTTGTTGAGAGGAGTCACAATGAAAAAACCAAGTCTCACGGAGAAGTGATCTGCAGTCCGATCATTTTCAAGAGCTCTACCACTTCTGATGTAATCATTGTTGATTCATTCATTTTGACTTCCAAATTGATGTTTTTTCCTGACCACAGGAGGGTGAGAAGGCTGTCATGATAACGCGATTGCCACAAGACTTGCAAAGGCAGCTTGACTCGCATATGAGGTGCTGACACTAGATGATGAATGTTCCTGTTTTACAAAGCGCTGATGCATTGTTTGTTTGTTATTATTCAGATACATGACCTTTCTCCTGGAATGTTCCCCATACCCCATGGGCTTTTTCACTTTTGATGGTCACCTGATCACTAGCAACCCTGCCGCCGTTGCAGCGTTTGGAGATGTAAATTTTGCACTTTGGTCGATACTTTGTCAACTGACTCACACGCAGACTATTTGGCTTCAAAGTGATATTTTTGGTATGAAAGATGCGCATGAGAGGTGCAAGCTTCGTCTTTACGATAACCCTTCAACAACAAGAGAGCTGACCTAAATTGTAGGCATGGACTGGCAGACCCGGAGAAGTGCAATCACCAGAGTAACAAGGTGGTTGACATTGTATCCACTATGATCATCTGACGATGATTCAGGCTCATCCGCAGACTGAGCGAAGGACTGCCTACATGAAGATGGTTCCTTCCTCAGGGTCAGATTAGAAACATGCTAATGTTCGTTGACGCAGATGGAAGCTCTCGTCGAAGACGGTTCTACATACGAGGTCGGTGTTGGAGACACTCGTGGCAACGTGGTCCAGTCTCTAACTAATGACGCAGGTGGATATCCCGCTCAAGAAGAAGCTTGATGACCAGACCGAAGAGACTTGGTTGGTTTTAAAGCTATGCATCGATAGAGTAGGGATGCATTTTCTTCATATTGACTGTCAGAAATAGGTATTGCAGGGTCTTTGCACAAAGACAGAAAGATCCCTTCACTGGTATCTGTCTGGCTGAAGATATGTGCTGTGCTTACTGCATGAATTCAGGCGAACCAATCATCATGGTCTCACACAAGAATGTCACGGATTTGAGAAAGGTCTTCACCTTGCTCTTCCCTTCTTATCACAATGTGCATCAACACTCATTCATCCTCGAACCTCAGGTGGAGGGCGAGTTGGGGAGAATGGAATTGTCCGCCTTGACCCAAAAGGATTTGATTCAACATGATAGGTGAGTCAGCGCTTGGTGGAAGTAGACTCACTCTCTGTTGTTAGTGATGTTGCGGGTTCACTTGCTGTACTTCTTGGTGAAGACTGGAAATTTGTTTACGACAATCCTGGTGGATAATGTTGAACGCCAACTCTCAGCTTCTCACGCCCAACCAGGTCGAGAAAGTGCTCTATCTGTGCACAAGAGTTCAGAAGGGTCTTCAAGTCCTCGATCCCTTCTTAGCGCAGTGTCTGCGGATTACGGAAGCTCTTCCTTGATTGCAGATCAGGTGCTGCACTCCCTCTCTGCCCCCGCCCGCCCTCAGCTGGCGAAGGCTTTCATTCTCGTATCTCTCTGAATTTCTTTGTGTCAGCTGCAAGGGCTACGTGCTGTATTGGACACCGCCGACGATTGGCATTTCAATGTGAGAATTTGGAGGGCTGAGGTAGTTTGCACATGACTATGGTGGAACTTGTACAGGTATTTGATCTAGAAAGAGAGGCTGATGGATTGCCTCTACAAGTATGCTGGTCTCTTGACAAATGGCAGAAGGTTGACGTACGAACAGGTCATTTGCTGGCACGTGTTCACGAAGCACAATTTGATAGAAGAGTTCAAACTGGATCAAGTCAAGCTCATGAATTTTTTCCGAGCGATCGAGAGTGGCATGCAAGACAATCCCTACCACAATGCAACGCACGTTGCGGATGTGGTACAATCCATGCACTGTCTGGTAAATCTTATTTCGAAGAGCAATTAAAAAAATCTAACTTGGTGCAGCTGCTAAAGGGAGGATTGAATCAGTTTGTGGGGAAAATGGAGATACTCGCAGGATTGTTCTCGGCATGCATTCATGATTTTGAACACATCGGTAGAACATTCCATCGCTCTGCGCAACACTGAGGCTTGTTCCAGGTTTCAACAACGACTTTCTGATCAAGACGCAACATGACTGGGCGATCGATTCCAATGACAAGTCCCCGAACGAGAATCATCATCTCATCTCAGCGTGAGTCGCTGAACTTGTTGCCCACCATTTTCAACTAAACGATTGTTTCTAGTTTCCGAATCTTGCGACAAGATGACTTCAACTTCCTTCATCGCATGCCCGAAGCACAACGAAATCAATTCCGCAAGATAGTGATTGAGCTGGTGCTGGCGACGGATATGGGAGAGCACATGGTTCTGTTGCCCCGCATGTCGTTTGAGTCTGACCACAACACAGGCCATCGTGTCAAAGCTGAAGACAAACCTGCTCAAGAGAATGGAAAATCCGGACGATCAGATCGAGGACGAGCCTCCTGACAGCCTGAGGATTCTTGTGCTTCAGGTTCGAGTAGGTCGCTCGTGTCTGCTTGGACTTAAAGCCTGCAGGGAGCGATCAAGGTGGCGGACATCGGGCATGTGTACGCCGATCGCGACGTTCACATCCGATGGGCAGAAAGACTCGAAGAGGAGATGTGGCGTCAGGGTGACCTGGAGAAGCACAGGGACTTGAAGGTATGACATGGCAGGAGGAAGGGGAAGGGGACGAGGGTTTTGACTCTGCTACAGGTTTCCTTCCTCATGGACCGAGAGAAGCCTGGCGTCACCAGATCCCAGGCAAGAAACCTTGTTGGAAGTTCTTCGCTTGAGTGACCTGAACTTCAGCCCGGCTTCGTTGATTTCGTCGTCATGCCGCTGTTTGAGACGTGGGCCGCGTGCTTCCCCAAGTGTCAGGTCCTTGTCAATCGTGAGTGTGTTGGACTCTCTTGCGACCTGCCTGAGCCCTTGGCAGGTGTGCAGGCAAACTGCGACCACTGGAAGGAGATGGAGAAGCAGTGGAACTTGGCCTCCAAGACGTAGAAGTCGCGGGATCGAAGCGGCGAGCCTCCAAGTTAGGGGAAGAGGAGGGAGGAGCTTGTGGGAGGTAGAGGGAGAGGAGGGAGGAGCTTGAGGGAGGTAGAGGAAGCAAGAAGACTTCTACCAATACAACTCTGTTGCCTCCCTCCCGCCTCCTCTAAAGCGGCACACGGAGACGCTCCTCCCAGAGACATGCGCGGACCACAAGTCTTTGAGGATGCCTCTGAGGCGGGCCGGTAAATTGATCCATGGCAAGAGGAGGGGAAGGGGAGGACAAGAGGAGGACAAGAGGAGGACAAGAGGAGGAATGGCTATGACGACAAACGGCAAGTTGCAGTCGCCATAGTCGACCCTCGGGCTTGTCTCTTGTTGAATCCGTAGAGAATGCAAGCATGTGCACCAGTGCGATATCAAGGAAAGCTCTTCTTGTTATCCTTGTCGCTCTTTCCGTTCTTCTCGGATCTCGATCAAGTTCGAGACCAGATCTCCGTCCTCTCCCATGCTTCTTCCTCCTCTCAAGCGCCAGGCTGAAGCTGAGAGGAGGGCAGGTTCGACCGCTGCGCTCAGAATGGTCTGCATTGAAACTCTTGCCTTGCAGGAAGAAGACGAGATGGTGGGAGAAATGCCGCCCACCATTCCGCTTTATCCCTTTCTTGAAGGTCCTGATGAAGTGAAGCTTGTCAAGATGTAAAGATATAACTGCTGCTTCCATCGTTCCCCCCTTCCCTCACGTCTGCTCTTTAAGATGCTCCTTGTGTCACACGCTTGGCCATCTGCAGCCTGCATGCCCGGAATGGGTGAGGCAACGTCTTAGCTTCCAACTTCCTCACGGAGATTGCAGAAAGTAATGGAGAGCCTCTCGTCAGATGAGCCCGAAGGCGAGCAAACAGAGGAGAGGCAAGGGTAAGAAGGATGAGGGAGCGAGGGAGCGAGGGAGGGACGGAGGGAGAGAGGGAGGGGGGGAGAGAGGGAGGGAGGGAGGGAGGGAGAGAGGGAGGGAGGGAGGGAGGGAGGGAGAGAGGGGTGCATTAGTCATGTTGTCGGCCAGGCTGTTGGCTGCAGTCATACAAGGGCAGGACAGTGAGATCAGACGACTGGCAGCACAAGGAATCGAACTCGACGCGTTTACTGTGAGGGGCGAGGAGAATCCGCTGCTTGCCGCTTGTTTCTACGAGGAGCACGTGCGTCTCTTGCTACCCTTGCGTTGCATCTCGCTCGTCTGCCTTGACAAGCTCACAGACTTCAGTGTGTGCTCTAATCGAACTCGGCGCTGATGTGAACGTCAAGAATTGTAATTTGCTCACCCCGCTCCATCTAGCAAGCTTCCGAGGTTCTTGGACTCACTGCCAATCATCCTCCTTTAGCGTGCAGCCGCAGGTTTGAGCTTGATCGGCCGCACGCTCCTCGCTGCCGGTGCTGCAGTGGACGAAGTTGATGTAGAGGTAAGCAGAGACTTGGCCAGCTGAACGCTGACTGGCTGCAGGGCAACACGCCGCTGCACCTCGCAGCCCGCGAAGGAGGAGAGGCTCTGATCAAAGACCTCGTCAGTGCAGGTGGAGCTCGAGGAGGTCCGAGCGGACGATGAAGATGTGCAGGCGCTCAAGTGAACGCGGCGACCAAGAGCGGGGGGTTGACGCCCTTGATGTACAGCGCTATGAGGGGCCAAGGCCGTTGCATCCTGCTGCTGTACGTGGGCTGCGTATCTGGACCCTTTTGACCTTCTACAGGTGTCAGCTAGGGGCTGACCCTAACCAGAGGTGTGCGCGAGGGTGGAGAGCGCTGGAGTGGGCGAGTGAGTTTGAAACTTGTGGATGTTGTTGAGTTGACAAGTTGGCAAGATGAGACAGATGAAGTGGAGAGCATTGAAATCCTCTCATGCCTCATGCGAGGGCTGCCTCTTGAGGTAACGAGAAAGGAAGCCTTGAGATCGCTGAAGAGATTTCAGAACATCGCGAATGAGACTCTCAACACTACTATGAGTGGGTTGATGGAATGTGATGAATAACACAACCGCAATGAGATTCAAAGTTTTACATTCATTCCCATGCATCTCCACTTCCTCCAACAGAATTTTGATAAGCAAATAATTCTATAGAAACATTTTGAGAGGCCATCTCTCAAACCTAGATCACAAGTCTATTCCTTGTGGTGAAATAACCGATATCTTTCATCTTTTCACACCTGTTACGATTAAAGTTCCTTGCCATGGTCCTGTTGGTTTTGCACGCCAGACCTTCACGTCAGTCAGTCCCGCTGCTTTCAAGACTCTGTCCCATGCTTTCTCAGACATGCAGTGCATCTGAATGCCGAGATCATCCTCCCACGAATGTGACAACTTATTCTCACGATAGCAGTCCAAGCTTGCAATAAATCGGCCCCCTTTCTTCAACCAAGATTCTGAAATGTGCTTCACTGTTCTCTCAGGATTGTCGAGAAAGTACAGAACTTCGACTAGCGTCACGACGTCAACAGATTGCTCAGGTGTCCAGTATTGGATGTCTTGAATGGAGTACGAGGTCTTCTCATTATCTTCGTCTAGGGACTGAGCTTTTTCGATCATCAAGGCTGCGCCATCCACTCCGTGAACCTCAGAGCATTGGGGATGTTCAGCCATCTTCCGAACTGCCCAACCGTTCCCGCATCCAGCATCGATCACTGAGAACTTCTTTTTGGAAGAACCCTTGGTTTCCAAGATAAACTCCCACATCTCTTCAAACGTAGCCGAGTGAGTAAGCTCCATCACAATATCTCGTCCATCTGCAGCCCATGAGTTGTACAAAGCAGTGACAGGACGCTTGACGGCATCGTTCTCATGAGCTTTGGGAGGTTCGACATGCTCTTCTACAAAGGTATCCTGGGATCTCTTGATCGCAATGTTGCGCTTGACCTTCCTGCGATCGAAAGTTCCAGAAACTCTTGCTCTACCCTGCATTGGCACTTCATTGTGGAAGACCGCTTCTTCTTCCTCGCTATTTGGAGCAATCATGGGCTGCACAGCCTTAGTTACCGGAGTGGCGACCGAAGGAAGAGATTGGTCCTGCACAGGAAGCACTTCCTTGAGAGAAAAATCAAGCGAAGCACGTTGTGCCATCATTTCTGAGGTTGCTTTGGGTATCTGCTCTGGCTTGAGGCTTCCGTTGCTTTGACATTCCTCCAAGTACTGCTTTACTGCTTCCTCATTGAGTTCGAACATTTTCACTTTCTGTCTGTCAGTTTCTGAGACGGTGAAAAACTTGGAGTGTTCACGAAGCATTTGATGGATGGTTACACCCTTGATGCTCTTAAAGATGTAAATAGGTGAATTCGGGTGTGAGGTCTTCCATTGCTGCCCAAATAGATTAGAGTCCATCTTTCCATCATTGATCTTCAGGACACTGGCAGCTCTGGAGACAAATTCTGGCAACATGTCCTCCCTCACAGCTGGCCGAGGCTCCATAGCGGGCCTGCCACGACTGCGCGCGCTCTTTGGTTTGTCTTCAGCTACGAAAGTTTTCCTCGGTTTCGTAGCCCTTGGATTGGCAACAAGTGGTTCTGACTCACTAGTTGGCCTCCAATTTCCATAGAGAGACGTGCATGGAGTGCGGGGAAGCTGAAGACGAAGTCAGATCTCAAACCGAGTGATGAAAAAAAACTCACAGTCGATTTTGAGTCAATTGAAGTAGAGGGCATTTCAAGCAGTCTATCCAGGCTTTGCTTCAACGCGGCAGCCGCATCAGACTCGTCGTCGATATCAGTTGTGATTCTGGGTGGCATGTAGACCATGCGTGTTGAACAGGCAGCTGTTCTGACAGACCTCCCTCCAGCCTTGGACAGCAAAGGGTTCTTTGACATTGAAGAGCGGGCCAGTATAGGCGCCTGTACGAACGCTTGTGCTGTTCTCATGCACAGAGAAACGGCAAAGATGAAGCATAGAGCGGTACGGCGAGAGACACCGCAAATCATGGAAAAGCTCTGCAAACAAACAACCATTAGCTTACTGGCAAATCCAATTTCAATAAGGTGCAGATGTTCGCACAATCAAGACAGATTCATCATGTTGTCTACATCTCGATTCATGCCACGCTTCGATAACCAACGTCATTAGCAAACCATCCTCTAGCTATCCACGAGAGCACACAATGCACAAATCAAAAAGCGGCCCCCAAAATCGCGCGAACAAACTTCACTTGTGCCTTATCATGATCAGGCAAGAGCGATGCACAACAGAGGATCCATCGCCCTTGCTCTGACAAGACAACCAACACGAACAATCCCTCCTCTTCTTCTCTTCTCCCTCACCTTTGTGACTTTGAGCGCCCCGATCTCCTGCATGACTGCCGCGGCCGCCGCACGAGTCCACCCTACCCCTACCCCCAGTACATATCTGAACTACCCTGACGTGTCCCTACCCCACCTCTCTCCCAGACCCACACCACTCGTGTGAACTCCACCCCCTGGTGAAGTTTTAGGGGTATGACCCTACTCTCTCAAAAATACGATTTCAAACTTCACCCCTTCTTTTGTCTGTCAAAATACCCACCTTTTTACACTTTGATGAGGTTATGTCGATAAGAACCCCTGCTTGAGAGTTTGTACCACCCTATAACCCAATTTGGTCTGTTGCGACTTACCACCCACCTGGGATTGTCCAATGGTAAGTGACTACCCCTACCCCCCATCGTCCGAAACACCCCTTATTGCCGATGCAACCTCTCAAAGCTTATATTCAACCACCCCTACCCTCAAATACGGAGTAAACAATACCCCTGATAGTAGACATCACACACTTAGAGGACCCCACCCTTCCCTTACAGCAGGCAGCCTCCGGATCCTCGGTACCCCACCATTCCACAAGGGGTGGATAGGACGAAAGCGTTGGGAATAGGTGGGTACTTCGAGGTCTTTTGGGAGGTGGGGGGTCTTAGAAGTGTGAGCATGTTTATTCACAGGGGTGGATCAAAAATATTTGGGGGTAGGGGTACTTTTAAAATTTCCATTGAGGACGTTCATCAGGGGTGGTTGTTGTGAGTAGGGTGGAGGGTTCTCAGGTATGACTTTGACGGGTGCTGTTGTCTATCCAAAAGGGGGTAGAGAAGGTTTTAGTGGTCAGGGGGTGGGGTCAGAAAGAACTACCAGGGGTAGGGGAGCTCCGACCCGGGGTCGCATAGAGGGCTCGAATCCCCCTCAGCTACAAAATGGAGTTAATGGGAAAGAACCCCCTCATTCATATCCATTTATCAGGGAACATGGGGGTAGTGTTTCTTTCCTCCAACTGTAAAGGTACCACATGCAGGGACTACCCCACCATATTCCCTTGCAGTTGCGTGCTTCAGAGGGTAGTACAGGGGGTAGGGGATCTTTACTTGCCTCGTGCGGGATTTAAATTTGAAATAAAGAACGCTAAAAAGCGATTCTGTTATTAATACTATAATATTTGTGCCAAAATTTGAAATCTTGAGTCATAATTTAGATTCTTAATAAAAATTGGGGCTGCAAAATGTATCTAAATATAAACATTTTATAAATATTTAATTGGGCATCTTCGGGTCCGGGGCCCTTTGAACCACGGTCGCCGGGAAGGGTTTTAAACTAACTTTGAGTAGGATGGAGGTGATTTTCAGTGCCGGGCCGGGCCTCCGGCCAAGGTGCCGGCTGACTCCCGAGTGTCAATAGTCAAGTATCCCAGAGGATACGCATGCGACTCATGAAACTGGTATGTCCCGGAGTCCTAGGAGTCGGTGTAGAGCAAATTTGGCAGAGAGTGTTTATATTTTGTCCATGAATTTTGAAATTAAGAGTAAATGTTCGAAAAATATCTGAAATGTCTGCTGTGTCCTGTTATCGGTTTTTGGAAGGACCACCTCCATTCAGTACCTTACCAAATTTTCAAGTACCCCCTTTTAAAATACCTTACCTTGGTATGACCCTGTCATATATCGTTAAATATACGGGTAGTCTCAGATGTTTTTGAACAAGTACCCCTACCTCTATCAGATAACCCACCCTTTGTGGGCTGGCACCTCTCCCGCCCTGCAACATCACTGCTAGGGCGATAGTGACAAGGAAATGCAGTGGAGTACAGAGGAGACGTAGCCGACGGCGACGAACGTGAGGGAGCAGAAGAGGGAAAGAGAGGAAGGAGCGAGGAACAGGAGCGAGATGAAGCAAAGGCTAGAGATTGAAGATGGGAGGAGGAGGAAAGCGACAACAGTGACGGAAAAAGGTGCCTTACAGGGGGAAGAAGCAGGAGCTGAAGTTGATAAAGGGAAAGTACCACATGAAATGGGGAAATGGAGAAGGGGAAGAGAATTGAGACGAGTAGCAAGGAGGGTAGGCGTCAAAGAGAAGATGAATGAATCGAGGGTAAGGAGGGCTATGGTGCGGCAAGGGCATTGGAGGAGGAGGATGAGCGAGCTGAGGAAAGAAGCAATGAGAAGCGGGACTAGGAGAGATGAAACGACGGGATGAGTATAGAGAGGAAGCAGGCAAAGAATGGAAGATAAAACGGAACGAGATGAGCAGCGCAGGGAGGGAACCAAGGGGAAAGTGTACGAAAGCGAATGGTTTAGGGGCGGAAAATATTCTGCAGACAGATTCATGGTTCTTGGATGCAAGGATCTTCGAACCTATTCATCACAGATATCGCTTTATCCTGATTCCTTCTTATGTTGCTCTTTGCAGAAGTTCCGAGTTGGGTGATCAACAGATATCTGTAGAATGAATCAATCCTGAAGCATCTCGATTTCTCAAACACGCATTGGACTCATGTACCGAGGAGTCTTCTTTCTGTTTCTTCTATATTTTGGGGCCGTATGGCCTGGAAAGACATGCAGCAACACCCTTCAGCTTGACGATGGGAGGCATGTTGCCTTCGCTATAAGTACAGATTCGGGACGAAACTTGGCATTTTCTCCTTCTTTCTATCATGTAAACTTCCACAGGAAGACGGGATCGATCACATCATCGCGTTTCCGAAAGATTTGCCATGCATCCAGCCTGAGAATGGACGTCGGTGAAGGAAGTAGGATTCAGAGGCAACCTTCATTGTTTCAGCCAGACGCTCATAGCAGGAGTTCGCGAAAACCCCATGCAGATGTGAATACTGATTTTCCTGCAAATGTCTTGAAACCAGCTGTGTATTATAATTTCTCTAAATTAGGCTTCAAGCTAGAGCATACGGTCAACAATCCCTCCCAATCTACCGAGGCCTTTCTTGGAGACACTCCGCAAGTTGATGATCGGCCGCAAGAAATGGATTCCGTGCAGTCTGAAATCAAGCGGCTGAAAACGGAGCTGGACAAGCTCAAGGCAGAACATCGGGATATAAACGAGGTGAGTCTTGAAATGTTCTTTTGAGCTGCATGAGAGAAATTCTGGTTGTTGCGCTGAGCTGCATTTTACAGATATCGGACAAGCTCTCTACTGAGCTAATGCAGCCTGCTGTGCACTCATACGCACAAATATCTGCGCTCAAGAAGAGGAAGCTCATGCTCAAAGATAGAATCCTAGTGTTGGAAAGAAAAATATCGAGCTTGGAAAGCGATGACAAAGCACCCAATAACTTTGAAGGTAGACAATTCACAGACCAGGACACTGAAATCTCAGAAGATGACGTCAAGGACTTCGACTTAAGGGAGAATGCTTCCTCATATGCTATGAAGGAGCAAAAATTTCGGCATGCAAGGATTCAATTCTCAGATATCAGTGGAAACCTGTGGAATGAGCCAGAAAATGAGGCTTTGAGGGAGATGATTTTGAGACTGAACGACCTCGGATTGCGCCCTGAGACGGTTCTCATTGTCTTCGAGGTCAAGAAGGAGGTGTAATCTAAACACACAGGTACCTCCGCACAAGGACAGCTACTTCCTGTCGCTCATGAAAGGGTTACAATGTGCTGGGCTTAGGCCTCGCGGCTACGATTTTAGAGAACAGACGGTCAGTGATTATTGAGCAGAGAAGCCTTTGCCGAGATCTGACCGTAATCTTATGATTCAGGTTATGGGGAGCGGGAAGCAATATCCATTTGCTGCTAAGCGCGCAAGACAGGATGTCTTATCTTTGTTGTCATCACAGGTCAACTTCTTGAAAGAAATGTGCACAAACTGAATGTGATGCAGATTGATAAACTGAATGGAATAGCGGGCTGGAAACTCAGTGCACAGGAGTTCAAACGATACTTTTCGAAAGCATGGTGGAACGTTCCGGCCGCTCGAGATGACCTTTTCATGGCCTCTGCACATCTGTACGTGCACGATTGCGATGGTTGTGATCGTGACCCGTTGTTTCAGGTACTCTGTTCGAATTGTTTGCTACTCCATCACCTCGGAAGGACTTGATGAACAAATCTATGATCCTCCTGGTGACAACCCCCCACGGGCAACGATAAGAGTTTGCCGTAAAGGAGATCATGTCATTTCTACTTCTCCAGCCAAGGGCATTACGGATATTCGGTCTGTGTTTGCTCCTCCTACCATCGGAAAGCCCACAAAGTTGATGAGGAAACGTCTCATGGAGGAGAATTTGGGCCTGTTTGACGTCCCCGACGAAGACGAGAAGGAGGAATCTGAAGCATTCGAAGATCTGAGTCAGAATGAAGAAAGTGTGCAAGAGGACGACGAGATAGTCGAGAGCAGCGCGTATGAGATTCAACGAAAAGTGGGTGCTGTCTATGAAACGCAGGTGAGAAGAAAGTGCATGCTATGTTAGCTTTGCTGATGACTCCTTCAATCACAGGTTGCCACGAAGAGAATATTCGCAACAATATCCTTGTCCGAGCATTCCAAGGTTCAGCTGACAAAACTGCTCGACACCATTCGACGGGAATTTCCTCTTGACTCAAAGTTGCTCGACAGTCTGGTGCGATGGATTGATCCGAATACGATGCATATTACGATTCAAACGTTTGACGTTCCTGGAGAGTCCATGGACGAGGTTCTGCAGTCTGTACAAGAGGCAGTGCGGACGGCAAACATCAGTCCTTTCAAGGTCGCCACAGGTGAACTCGGATGTTTCTGGCACGCGGCTGGGTCCGGATGGGGAAGAATTCCCCGAGTGATCTGGCTGGGCCTGGACGATCAGAGTCTGCCGCAGCTCGTCGAGCTGCACGATGCTCTCCGCCGCTCGTGCGCAGCAAAGAGTCTTGTGGACCCGCGGCCCTTCTGCGCTCACATCACCCTAGGGAAGAGTCGGACCAAGGGCAACCTGAACTCCAACGAGCGGCGGAGCTTGAGGGCCTTCGGCAAGTGGATTCAGGACACGCAGCGATCGACTGCATTGCAGAGCCTCTTGGAGGAAACGAATCGTAACGGACAGTCGAGGAACTCGGCGAAGCAGGAGGCGAGGGCGATGACGAGTGGGAGAGGTGCGAAGAGGCATCGGTCATGGATGCAAAAGACACGGAGACATCGAACGCGAGAGCGGAGGATGGGGGAACTGAACTCGGAGCTGTTCGACAGTCTGGTGGTGGAGGGAGGGAAGGAAAGTCTTGTGCCGGAGATTGAGATGGAGATCGCTGAGATCGACGTGTTGGAGGCTGTCAGAGTGCCTGGCTCGAAGCAGGTCTCCTACAAGAAGCTCATGAGCCTGCCCCTCTTCCCCGACGACTCCGCGTGTACATAGAACCTTTGTGTCTTTATTCTTTGAGCTTGTCTGTCTATTTACAAGAAATATATATGAAACATCACGAGCGCAGCTGCTCCTGCTATCATTGTCTCTGAGAACCAAGGAATCCTCGCAGCTCCTCCTGGAGTGGCGGCAACTGTATCCACTGCATCCCATCACTTGTATGCCGTCATCCCATCACAGTCTCACCTGTTACCGTCAACTTCCCTGCTCCTCTTCTCGTCATCACTCCCACCAGCCGAAACCCAAGCGAGGAGGAGGAAGGAGAGTACAAGATCGCTTGCCCGTCCTGGGCTCCTCGCCTAATAAAGCAAGTCAGAGGCCCCGGTAGCTCCTCCTCCTCCTCCTCCTTTACTTTGATGTGCAGGAAGCAGAACTTGCAGTGGCGAAGCCTGAGGCTGCTGCTCCCACCGGCATTCCTCCTCCTAGCGCCCAAGACAACCGCCGGCTTGCTCGATACTGAAGTTGCAAGAGGTAAGGAGAGGAGCGGACGTGCTCGGGGGTCACCTGCGGCGGGGGAGGACAGGAAGGGCTGGGGACGAGGCGGGGGGACCAACTGAAGGGCTCGGCGAGGGAGAGAGACACGTTGACATGCCCCTTGAGCGTCTCCTGCGTCAACTGCTGACTCTCCACCGCAGCCTGGAACTTGGAGACCCACAGCCGCAGGTCGAGCTGCTGCCACTCGTGCTCGGCAAAGACATAGAACTGAAGGAGGCAGGAGAGGCTGTCAGAGCAGGTGCTGCCGTTGGAGAAGTTGGCGGAGGAGGCGAAGACAACGTTGATGGGGGACACTTGGGCTAGGGTAGCCAGGGCGAGCTGGAGGGCCAGCAGACGGTTGGGATCCGCAAGTTGCAAGCCCAAGGGGTTGAACTGAGAGGAGCCAGAGACGTTGACGCGGCAGATGAGATAGAGGCGGTCGAACCTGACACATCAATGAGTGCAAAATTACAACAACATAACATGATATGCGATGAGTACAAAACAACATAACATGCGATGAGTACAAGATGACAACAGGTCAATTGCAACCTGAGAGTCTCGAATGTGAAGTCCAGCACTAGCTCCATCGCAAGTTGATACGACATGTTCGTGTCGACCAGATACATCGGCCTAGCATACGCGCAAAGGTTCGAGCTGTTGACAGCTTGCATGAAGTTTGTCTGGTTCTTCTCGGTCATGTTTGTCATGCTATCAACAAGAGTCATCGCCGGAGTTTGATCGCGCGCGGCTACTCACACAAGGTGGTACATGTCGTACTGCAGCAGCAGCAGGTCTGACGTGAAGCTCCCGGAGAAGAACGTGTGGGTGAACCCCAAGGGCGTTCGAGTGGTCGGGGTGACTTGAAGCCTGTGGAGGAGTGAGGGAGGAGGAGGAGGAGAGGTCGACCTCACCTAGCAGACGCACGTTCCACGTCCAAGCTCGTCGGAAGCGACCAGACATCGCATGAGTAAGATGAGGAGCTGGGACACTGGAGCCCTTGGCTGAGACAAGACATTGATTGCAGGAGGCGGTTGGCAGAGTAGACGCCTGCCGACAGGAAGGTCGTTCCCTCCCAGTGCCCAGCCAGCGCGTTCATGGCAGGAGCAGCTGAGATTGCGCTGCTCATGGCTACAGAAGTTGCGAGCACTCGACCGTTGATGAAGGAACCAGCGAACTGCAACGCAGCTGGGCTGTAGCTCGTGAGGGCCTGGAGGACAAGGGCAAGTCAGCACGCGGCAAGGAGGAGGTCTAGAGCACCTTCGATGGCAGGGAGATGGCGCTGTCGTTGCGACATGAGCCATCGGCGAGGACGAACGTGCAGGAGGAGGGGAGGGAGATGAAGCAGTCGGTCCCAGCAGCGAGGTCGTCCCGGATGAACACAAGAACAAGAGCTGCTTGAGACGCGCTGACTCGCTGCCAACCCACTCGGAAGGAGTTTGCGGGCACCTGCTGGAGAACCCTCACCTGCTCCTCCTGGCTGGGGCCAGCAAACCCAGACAAGTAGAGGAAGACTCGGTCGCCGAGCCGGGGAGAGACCATGGGAGTGAAGGAAAAGTTGAGCTGCAGACGTTCGTCGACCAGGGGCGGATGGAAAGTGACCATCGTGTTCCAAAGAGCGCCTATGCTCGGAAATTCAATCTGGTCGCCAGTCTCAGGAGACGTCGGCCAAACACTGGCGTCAGTGAAGAGACGGAGGGGACGGGAAGCATTGTATCCGTGAAGCGGGACGAAGACAACATCTTTAGGAATGACGATGATGATCGAGCTATTCCTTGTGATGTTGTTTGCCACGGGAAAGACAAGCGTGAAGTTGGAAGGATACCAGACTCCTCGCGAGAAAGCTGACGACGAGCTGTTGCATAGGAAAGCAAACGGAATGGTCTGACGTGGCGATGAGAATCCAGGCAGGTACGCGAAGACGTGTTCGCCGCTTAGTATGTCAATGTTTGCGATGAACTTGAGAGAAAACTCTGAAGTCTCTCCAGCAGACAAATCTTTGGAGCTGGTCATAGAGGAGTTTTCAAACGCCCCCGTACGGTTTTGAAACATCAGAGGTAGTTTTCCTGCGATTATTCCATCTTGAAACATCAAGAACGGATCAGAACCAGGGATTCCCTCCTAGAAGAAGATCAACCAAGTCATACGGAACTCCTTAGTTATAGTTATAGAGCAAGGTCGTTGACAGAGATTACCTGGCGGGTGTAAAAACCTTGATCCGAAGCTATGCTCAGGACAAGAGGGGAATAAGCCAACACGTCCTCTGAAATCTTGAAAGAAAGCCTCTGTAGCTCAGGATACCAGGTGCTAGGGGTCAAACATAAGCAAGCACCTTCAGAAGAAGCAAAAACACACCCTCCTTCACGGCTTGTGACCTGGTAAGTGACCGGGCAGTACTGTATAGCAAGTCATAACGTGGACGTACATCAAGCTGCAAACCTGACTCTGATTGTTTGCACAATTTTCATAGGATACGTAAACATTGTTGTTGTAGTCCCAGGGTGTTGCGGTCGGACAAGTCGGTTTGACGAAGCAAAAGTTGCTACAACAGTGAGGCTGATTGCAAGGGTTCTACAGACATTCTCAGGACAATCGATTGAAAGATGAGGATACCTGGAGATAGAGATTCCAGGCTAGGCAGGTTGAACCAAAGAACAAAAACTGGCGCCCTGCTCAAAGTCTGTGATCTAAATTCATCGTCGCCACCAGTCACCTGCTGCAGGATACGCAAGGTTCTGACACTGGCATGAGCCCACCGATGACGTGGACGCTGACGCGTATGCAATCCTCTTCACGTCAAGCTGGATGGGGCAGCCGGTGGGCGAGCAAGAGCGTTTCAAGAACGAGTTCAAGTACAAGTCCAAGGTGGAGCCCTTGTTGATCTTGTTCCTGGTAGCCTCGTCACCACAAGCATCGAGGGATGACATCTCACCTTGCTTGCAGCTGAATGTTGACGGTGACAGGACTGGCATAGTTCAAGGTGATGGCATTCTGCATGAAGAAAGGATACACGTTCACATATACAGCTTGTCCGTCTACAGGGCCCTGCACAGTATCTGTCGATAGAAACAGAGCTGGAGTTGCGTTTGAAATGCCGGCAAACGGGACGCTGAGGTTCATGCTTGGAGGGACGTCAACAAGCACAAGAGAACGAGAAGCAATCTCCCTAGTGATGGAGACCGTGAGCTCCCCGGAAGCAAAGCTCCCTCTTTCCATGAGATTCTGAGGGGCCGGTAAGTCCGGGTTCACGGTCATGCCGACTTGTGTGCTCATTGCCCCAGCCGTTACTAGGAACTGATGGAATCGAAGTCGCACGTAGCTTCCGGCACTGATCGTCATCGACGGCCGGAAACTTACTTGAACATGGACATCTGAGCCAGCGATCATGGGCGAGACTATCAGCTGCACACTCTCAAACTTTCCCTTCAAGACTATGAATGCAACAGGTGTGCTGACAATGTTGCCTTGCTCCCCAGCATAGGCCAACAAGGTTTCAGCCTTCAGGCCGTAGCTGATCCCTTGAGGCGGAATCGAGAATCCGCTCATGCGAGGGACGAGAAGCGTTTGCTGCTTGCCCGAGGGAACGGCGAGGGTGCTTTCAAATGAGAAGAGGATGCCGCCGGTCTCCCTGGTCCACTGCCCCTGCTGAAACCCGGAGGTGTTACCGAGATCGAACGATCCCTTTGCGTCTCTTGCGACCAGGTAAGGCATCAACATCGTCATCCTGTCCTTCTCCTTCATGTCGAACGACAGAGTGAAGGTGAGTTGAATCTCCGTCACGTTGCCGGGAGTCTCAGGATCAAACGACACTGATGAGAACCGGAAAGTGCCGATCGGACGATAATTCCTGATGAAGTAGCGAGGATTTGCGTACACGCTTCCTCGTTGAGCAGAGACAGCGATAGCCATCGGACACGCTTGGGATGTGTTGACACAAGTCGAAGACGGAAGAAGCACTCCATGAGTGGGAAGTTGGAGGACTGAGTCAACAGCCGTGATTGAAAACTGTTGGAAGGGAGGAATCTTGTGCTGAGAGGTCACGACGCAGGAGATTGAGAAGGTCTGATTCACAAAGCTGCAATATGAAAAGACTCCTGGAGGTCTCGAAATCACGTTGAAAGCAGAAGAAGTTTTGTGTCCGAATTCCGAGAGCGAAAGTATCAAGGCATCGCCTGTCTGCAACATTCTGAAGTAGCTAACGTTCAATTGGAAAGAAGTGAATTGACTTGCGATGGGGTTGGAGAAGGAAAGATTGACCGGTTGATAGAAGGCGCCCAGGGGAGGCAAGTTTGGTATGAAGTATTTGTGAATGATGCCATAGTTGGTCGTGTTGAGTTCGATTGAGACCAATCGACTGTCAATCTCGATCCCTCCCGGGGGAAATGCAATTCCAACGTCGTGTAAGAATTCGACGAAGTACATGGACAAGGTTTGGTTGACGGTAAGGACCAAACGACTGGACGAAGCATTGAAGAAAGCAGCTTCAAAATACTGCCCTATCAGCGAACTCTGATTCAGCAGCCCGTCGCCGACCTTGGAGAAACCATTGAGGGTTATGATAACTTCATCTCCCTGCAAAACCTCTCAGTCTCAACCACCGTCTCGCGTCTCTTTTACCCGTTTTAGAACAAAGTCGAGAGTAAGCAGCGTCAAGCGAAAAGCGGAAACTTGCCCAGCTTGGACTGAGATGTAGTGGAAAGAAGCTGAGAGGAGTGGAGAAATGGGGCTGATGAAATCAAACGGTCTGTGAGTCAGGTTCCCATAGCTCTGTAAGAACACATCAACATTAGGAGAGGAGATCTTGAATAACGGAAGAGAAATATGAAATCCCTCATCGAGATCGACACGCCAACTCGAATTGACGGGCAAGGCATCAAGTACGATGAGTTCCAGATACTGTCTGGGAAGCCAGCTAGCATTTGCACGCGCAGAGTGCTTGAGATCGTCACTGTATATGGTTACTGCCTTGTGAAGGACCTCAACTCCAGAAAAATCCACAAGATTCAGCCTTATGACATCCTGACTTGACATGATTACATTGATCGTGAACTGAAATGAGAGAGTTGAGAATCCAATTGCATCCTTCTTGTTGAAAGTCAGATTGGTATCTGAAAGTGCTGCTGGAACTCGCTGGGTATTGACGACAGGGGTTATGGCAACAGGAAACAATTGAGAAATCATCCATGACTTTATCTCCAGTGCAGGTACTCCGGCCAGTGGTAAGACAATTCCAAGACGTTGAAGAGATACACTTTGAAGCTCTCCTGCTGATAGTAGATTTGCGCTGGCAAGATACAAAATTTCGTCTTTGTGGCTCCAATTTCCTGTCGAAACAAGCATGTCAGCCGAGAGAAACAAACAATTTCTTTCACCTCTCCAAAATGACTGTGATCCTGCGCTCACATTGAATTCAGAGATATTGAAATGAAAGCCCGGAAGAAACAAAGCTAGGATGTCTCCCGGGAAGATGTCAGTGCTCTTGGAAAACGTGATGTAAACATCAGCCTGCTGGAAAGGCCTTGGAGGATCGAAAGAAACTGAAAAGAAATCAAACAGCGACACTGCTTCGATGTGTTTGAAAGGGGCAAACTCTATGCTAGACTTGGAGCCTGAAGATTTCATGAATACATCGTGATAACTAGCCGGAATACCATCTTTAGGAATCTGAAATCCAGCAGATTGTGGTATCACTGCTCTGATCAATGTGTTCATGGGAATATCTGCATTCATGGTAAACTCTAGCGTTGAGGTCTTGTTGGACCAAGACGCTTGTGAGAAGATTGAACCTGAAGCGTATTCCAAGGAAGAACACTGAGCTTGAGTCAAACAACCATAGGGATTTCTTTCCAACCAGAAAACAGATTTTGATCCAGGAGCAAAAGTTTTGATGGAATGAAGTGAAAGGGGGATGTTTGATTGATCGTTGGCGCTGATGTTCGACATCACCATTGAGATTGTTTGGCCGTATGATAGATTGACGTTGAATTCCATGACAAACTCAATCTCTGCACTTGCTCCGGGCGCTGGAGTATCTCGATGACACATCCATTCAAACCCGTCGAAGACGCAGCTGCAATTGCAAAACGAAACATTGGAGGTCTTGACTTTGCCGGGGAGGAAAGAAGTTTGTATCGCGGTCGGAGGAACTGGACCTTGAGCTGCGTCTGACTGAATCGTCAAGACCGGGAAAGAGTTTTCGACACCGATAGAAGGAGCGAAAATTTCGAGAGTGTCGAAGAGATTGTTGAGAACATGGTATTCAGAAGTGTATGGTTGAGAAGAAGTGTACGTCATGGACAACTCAAATGTTTCATTGTTCCATGAGATTGAAAAAGGAATCCCTGCTACAGGTGTCCCCTGCGACGAACTTCCATAAAAGTACGGCAACGAGACGGTTATGATATCAGAGAGCTGCAGGGGCATTGCGTTAAAGAAAGAGAGCTTGGCATTCAAAGGAGAACCAATATCATACCGATGTGTCAACACAAGCTGAAGAGGTTGATTGGGAAATGGGCTGTAAAACGACCCAATAGCTGGCACAGAGCACGGGCAAGACTGTTCCACACAGTATTGAACAAGAGGATCATTTTGAGTTAGCCCACCATTTGGAATCTTGATGTTTTGTGTGGATGAAACCTTAAGAGACAACGAACTGGAACTGGCTAAGGTGTTGATGAATGTGAACACCAGAGTGTAGTTGCCCTCGAACCAAGTGGCTACATCAGATGTGTAATCATTTTGCTCCACTTGCACCTGCTCTGTGCAGTCATACCCGCATTTCTGAAATCGAGACAGCAAGAATCGCAGCGAATCTCCACTTGTGATCGGATCGGTCGGTTTGATAGTGAAGGTTAAGGTGGCAGGTCGTCCTGCCGCGGGAGGGTCCAAGGCAAGCGAAACTTGAGCACTGCCAGTGTAGAACGCCGATGAAGCAAGCTGCAGCAGGGCCAGCAAGAACACAAGGGCGAGATGATGTTCGAGCCGCTGCTGCAGTTTCATCTCACCTCCTGACAGCCTCAGGCTCCAGCCATTCCCCGGCCCTCTCCCTCATCCTCCCTGTCCTCGGACATGGCGCCCCATTCCAAGAGTCGAAAATCGGAGGATCGGACCCCTGGATTAAATGGGACCCCTCAAGTCCCAGTAAATCATTGGGTGGGGTACTGGAGTAATGGTAAACAGGTTTTGCAGATGCGATGATCGCGCGAAGATTGCGAACATGACGAAACGAAGACGGCAACACAAGAAGAGAGCAAGATGAGAAGAGAGCAAGATGAGCAGGAAAAAGAAGAGAAGGCGATAAAGATACAACATACAAGCTTGAAAGAGAACAAGATGACATGGATAACAGGAATCTAGGAGGCAAAACGATAAGAGCACTCGCAAAGTGAATGAGGTCGACATGAATAAGCTGCATGCTATGATGCTCGAGCAAGCAGGAGGAGGTCGACGTTCGTTCATTCAGTCACGCAAGAATAAACTACAGCTGCTGAGTTGAAGGCGTTGCGGAGGAAGATCAGTCGGGAGGTAGACCGAGAAGAGCAAGTTGTCATCCTTCCTGGAGGGACAGACATAGCATGGGGTAGCAAACATCATGCCTTCCCATGAAGACTTGGTCTCTACTGCAAGTAAGACGGAGGGTATGCTTTCAAGTACATCTTCGCTCTCTTTCTTGACAAGCTTACCTGCTCTAGAGTTCCAACTAGCTCCTTGAATCATGAGTCCATCAATTATGATATCATCTTGCACAGAAAGATGCTCCCAAGAAAACTCGAAGCAGATAGAGGAGCTATCGAAAGAAAGATTCTTCCTCTTACATACTTCAAAGAATGCATGCATGACCACTGAAGTTGGATTTGAAAATCCCGAGATCCAGATTCTTCCAAAGTGTTTTCGTTTGGTCAACTCGATCATTTGCTCTGTATGATGATTTAAATGGGCTGAGAGCTTAGCAATGGACTCAATTTGCCATGGATTCCCCCACGGCATCTTGCCTCTTTGAATGAGCTTGACAACCTCTCTGTCATGAGCACTTAACTTTGACCCAGTCGCTATCTTTTGTTTCAAAGCTGTAATCTGTACATCAAGCCTCTCAAACATTTGATTGATAATGAATCTTTCTTGCATGATGATAGCCTTGAGAGATTTTTGTTTACTCTCAAAGTGTTGCAAGTACCTATCAAAATCAAAGTTATTCCAATTTTGAAAGAATAGCTTGTCTTCCAAAAACTCCAACTGCGGGAGCATACTGTCGTCTTCATAAGAAGGCTGACCTCTTTGTTCAATGCTCAAAAGATCTTGCAAGTTTGCAACCAATTCTTTGCTTGAGTTGGAGCAGAACTCGTTTTCTGCCCATGATTCGACATCTATTACTGACATGTCGTCATATCCTGTCACCGCCCTGAATGATTGCAAAATTGCAGCCGCGTCTTGTCCTTGACTCAAACTTAATATTGGAGCGAACTCGAACTCTGGTAAGAATATCCTCGAGGAAAGACACCTGCTTGCGATGATCTCCATCATCGTTCTATCTGTTGCGCCCACGACTTCAGCACCAAACAACAATTCTAGGATGAAAGATTTCAGAAGGCTCCATGGAATCATCCTCCTGCCGTGCATGTTGTGCTCAATCGAGTCCAGAACGATTTGATTGATTTGAAGGATGCTGGATGTGAAATCAGATTGATTCAGAGAATAGGCCGAGCACCAACCAATGGCTCGATACTTGGATCGAACCCTCGCAATTGCGTGCAGTATGCAGGTGGAGAGCAGAACATACTTCAGTTCCATCTCCTTGTCAATATCCAACAACTCTTGTGAGACCCAAGTGATGGTCGCGTACAACTTCTCCTTGAAGCTTCTTGGTTCTATCGCACATTTCACCAGAGAGATCTCGACCAGATTGCGAGGCAGATTCACTTTCAGTGGGCAAGTGATGAACAGTCGAAAGGTATCTGCCGACGATTCTGATTTCTGGATGATCGATGGAATGCTGTGGAGAAAAGTGATGTCATGGTTGACGTTCTCAAGGATCAACCATATGCCTGAGGAAGGTCCTGATATCAGATACTTCTGCGCAATGTCTCTCTGACCTTCTCCCATGGAGACTGTTCGTATCGGGATCTTCTTCCGACGAGCCATGTTGTGGAGCAGGGACCAGGTGTTGGAACCTTCATCGATCAACAAGAGCACAGGCATTTGAATGTTTGACATCTTGTAGCAGCTCTCAGGATCAAGTACAATTGGCTGATCTATGTCGAAATGAACCACTGCCTTACAATACTTGCTGACTGCTTGTTGAAATCTATCAAACCTCAAAAATCTCACCAACAAAAGCTTTTCAAATCGAATCATTTTGATTCTATGATTGCTAGAAATGAGCATTTCTGGCGTATCACTTTGGAGCCATTTCACCCAATCAGTTTCATTTGTTTCAATATCCTCTAACACCGTTTTAAACGTTTGCGAACTCTCCATCAAGTGCAGCATTCCAGAAACCTGTTCAACACTGAAAATTTGCAAATTCTTGAGTCGTTCCAACTGCAACTCATTTTGATGCTTTGAAGTTGCATCCAGGGGTTTTGATCCTATCAATTCGACGTAAAACGCATGATGATTCTCTAGTTCTGAGTCGTTGAACATGGCAAACAACAACAACCAGACATACTTGTGGGATGGTTCATAGGTCTCTCCAAACGTTCGATACATCTCAAATTCAAAGAATGATATTTTGTTCACCTCTGAATGTTTGGGAAGCTCCATGAGAGTTTTGAAAGAATTGATGATTGAACCGAGGATATGAACAAAGCGTTGGAATGAGATGAAATACAGCGAGTCGAGCTTTTTCATGTAGGACAAGGCCTTGATAACTTGCTTAGCTAAATTTACTACCGGAAGATGTGGCTCCGTGTTGCTGGATACCGCACTCCATTTACGTTTCAACTCATTTCGTTCCTTGATTGTGTTTTGCAAGTCAAATTTTAGACTTTGAATTTCTTGCAATTTTTGATGTGAATCCCAGATATTTCCTTGCATGGTGCATAAAGACTTTAGGAGACTCTGATGAATGTCTTTGACTTGCAGGTTTACCTGCAGCTCTTTTGACAACGTCGACATTCTTTCTTTTTCGATGTAGCTGTCTTCAATCAACAGGACAGAACTTAAAATTTTCATCTCTAACATTCTTTCGGAAGGAGCACAATTCACAACAGTGATGGTGCTGAGAAATTCTTCGCTATACCTCTGGAAGTCAAATTCAGAAGTACGCATGTAAACAAAAAAGGTTGGTTGCGGTCCGCTGTCTGTGGTCTCTTGGACAGAATGAATAAAATTTTCATAGGTGACTGACTGAAACTCTTGAGCAGTTTCAGGGTCGAAGTCCTGGATGAGAGCAGGGATACCAAACTTCATGCACTCTTTTGTCTTCACGAGGAGGTTGTCGTCCCGGGCATGGAACAACTTCAACTCTCCGGCAGTAGCCTCGCTCACCCCTCGGATCCACCCCGTTACCACGTCGCAGGGGTCGTAGAAGAGAGGCCACAGTTTGCTTCGCCAGATGAAGAAGATTCCATCGCTACAACTATCCTCCGGGTAGAGTCCCTGCCGCCTCCACTGCAAGATGTCATGGTCGGTCACGAGCCCGTTCAATGGGTTCACAGGCAAAGTGATGGAGATGCCGAGATCTTTGCAGACATTCACCAGACGTCTCCTGAAGATTTCATTCCTTGTCTCCGCATCGAAACCACTGCAGTACGTCTGAAATGCGACGGCAATGCAGCAATCGCCCGCTATTTTGCCGATTTCAAATTCATGTTCCGAAATTTCCAATGACCAACGTTTTTGTTGAACTCGAATACCATTTATGAGATCCACTGCTGTTGTAATATCGTTTTGCTTGCGCTCGTTTTCATAATTCATGGTCTGTCTCTTTTCAACTGCAACATCATATGCTTGTCGTAGAATTCTGATCTGTTCTTGAGCTCTAGAAATTTTGTCTTTGATTTCAGCAATTTGATTGTTAGTCGATACGTAGATTTTCTCTTTCTTGAGACATTGTTCATGTCCAATCTTGTTTTGGTTGAGCTCTTGAAACCTGGCATGCAAACTTTGGAAAAGATTCCATATCGGTTGCAACTGCGAGGAATAAGTACTCTTTTGAACCTGCTGAAGTAATGAATCGCTCTCAATGTAGGCGCTGATCAATTCGTGCTGTTCAGCGTTAAACCCTCTGATATCAATTTTCTTCAAGGTCTTCAGAAGCCTCCTCGGAGTTTTTAGAACCTGAACAGTTTCCCTCCAATTCGCACTTCTGTACAGGACACCATTTTGTTCGAATATTTCAATCTTATTCAACGGCCTTAGGAAAAGTATGAGGAAAAGATCGAAAACCTGTCTTACCTCCAAAGGTACCTCATCATTGTTTGAAAGGTTTTCAAGAAAGTCTCTGTCAATTGATTCTGTCTGGCTTAAAAGGATTTCCTTCAATTCATCATGTACTCGTTGATATACATCTTGCTTGCTCTTTGCTTGAACTAACTCAGAATTGAGCGAGCGCGACCATGTTTCTAAATTTTCAAACTCTGTCTGATATCGAGCCAACAATGTCGTATTCATCTGAATATCCTTCATGATCGCTTCGCAATCCTCGGTATTTGATTGCAGGATTTCATTGCCATGCACGTTTTTCATCTGCGATTTTTCGATGTCGTTTTCACAACTGATCAATTTTTGTACGGCATCTTTGAGCATTAACTGTCTAGCATACAACTTTTTGTACGACTGCAAGTAATGTTGCTTAAACGATTTGCAAAATTTTTGAAAATTGTACATGGAAAAATCTGACTTCAAATTGAATTCATCATTCAATTTTTGAGAATGTTCAATCATAATAGAATGAATTTCAACCATAAACTTAGGTATTGTTGCCTTGATTCGTGTTTTCAAATTGTTGATAGACTCTGTTTGGATATCAATTGCTTCTTGTACAGCATTCTCAATGTCTACTTTGTCCCATATTTCAATCGCGTTGGAGTTTGAAGACCTGTTCTCCTCTTCTTGTATTCTCTTGATAACTTCTTGCTTCACATCGACCATGCTTTCAGCAGCATGAGCTTCTATGTCAAAAATCAATTCTTTTGTGATAGCCTTTGCGTACTGTTCCACTGGAGATTTGGCACCTGTGTCCCACAGAAGGATAGTGAACGATGATGGGATGCTTTCACAAACGAGTGAAAACTTCGATAGGGGATTCGGGATGATGATAATAAAATGAACATTCCGTAGCACTTGATGATGAAATGATTCTTTGGTCTCGATGATCGATTTGTCAGTGTGATTCTTTGTGATGGAAAGAAACTCTGTCTCAAATTCTTGATCCGAAAAGAGAGATTGGAAATCAACTGTCTTGATTTTCGAAAAAATGTCTTCCACCAAAGTAATACCATGTCTGTCAATATCTAGCGTGATTTGAAAAATAATCTTCTTATTCAAGAATCCTGCCATTCTTACACCAGCTTTCATTTTCATCAATACACTCAAAGCGGTTGCCTCAGATTTCACCTGCATATTCACAATCTGTGCGGATACGACAAATGATGCCATTCGTACGAACAGCTGGATGCCAATACTGGGTCTCCCGACTACAACCAGGTTGCCCATGTCCATGGTGAGCGCGCGATGAATGCATATAAGGTTCTTGGGAAAGGAGTCGACGAAGTCTAAATCGAGATACTCATTCGAGTCTTGAGCACAAGCTTGCTTGTACGCATGGAACAGATCCTGCACATATCGGTTGATCTGTGGGTCACGTGAGGCAGGAATGAGATTCTCGATTGCGCTCACAGTCCATTCATGGCTGGTCATCGATGGATCATTCGAAAGCTTAACATTATGTAACCAGTACGCATGTTCAATCGCCTCCGCTCGACCAGAATCAGACCGACGACTTGAGTTGAGGACAAGAGCGACTGCTCGGTCCAAGAAGTTATCAAAGATCACTCTGTTGCGTTCTGCCATTTGATCTCTAAGCTCACGGCTGCACTCGTAGGCAAAGAGGGAAGCAATATCTCTTGCCACAGAAACAGAGTCTGATCGAAGAATGATTCCTAAGAACCTTTGAAAAATCTTGAAGCCATTGCTCATATCGAACCTTAAGTAAGAAGAGCTTTGACTGCTCATCATCGTCTCACGTAAACTGGATAGTAACTCCGCAGCAGCGCCTGCACAAGCATGTATTGCAGTCTTCACATCCCATATCCAACTAAATTTGTTTTGGGTGGCTTTTCTACACAAATGCTCAAATATCATGCGAAATTTCTCTGATGATGGCTCTGAAAGGATAACTTGCAGACAGTATTTTTGCAGTCGAGGGGGAATGATACAATCATGTGAAAGGAGCATTGCTGTAGCCACAAATGTTGTCCCAGTTACATCATGAAAATCCCCCAGTTTTTGATAACTGTAATTACCATTACGCTCCAGCAATACCTTGAGGCATTCCATGGATGCACTTTGACCGAACTTGTCCGACCGAGGAATGTTGATGTCATCTATCAGAAAGTATAATGAGCTCTCGTGCAAGTTTCTGTACTTTTGGCTGTTCTTGGAGTGTATGAGGACCAACATGTCTTCTAGATGAGTTGAATTTGAGGTTGTGCAGAGCCGTGTGCTGCCGACATGTTTGCCAAGGGATGAGTTGAAGTTCAAGCATCGCTCAGCGATGGCACTCTTACCGACTCTTGAAGGCCCAGCTATCACCATTGCCAGACCGCAGTGGCAAAGGAAACTGCTGACGTAACTGACGGCCAGGCTTTCACTTGTCGGGACGTCCAAGACATCAAATTGCAACGTGTCATATTCATATGGGAAGTAATCGGCATCCACCAACTGAGATGCTGGCACCCATTTCGTTGCAAAATGCTCTGGTTTTTCGTGAAGAACGAATTCCAACATGGTAGATTCCGTGGAACCCTTGCGACCTGAGGGTGATATCGGACACAGCTCTCTGATCTTGCGTTCCAACTTCATTTTGTCGGTATCATCAGAAATCGGAAGATACGTCCAAAGAGTGCTGTAAACAACAATTCTCTCGATCATGGCGTCGGTCACATTGTTTCCCATTTTCATCAAACTTTTCAGGACTGAAAGCAACAAATTGCAAAAGATGTGGCAATGTATTGACTGCTGTAATTTTTGTGGAGATTTACTTGTCCTGTCAAAGAATTCTGAGCATGGAAGGAAGATTTTCTCAGTGTAATACAAGAGCTTTTCAAAGCCAATGAAGTCGTTCTTCTTAAAATGAAGAGAAATCAACGACTTCGATGTGATCAAGTTTGAACCGAAGTAAACCAGCGGAAGACGAGACAAGACGGATGGTGACAGGTGTTCAGAATCACAAGTTTCAAAGATGATCCTGACGTCATTCTTCACTGGAAAGATGTCTCCATTCGATATCTGCACATAATGCTTGTTCGCAAAATGATCAAAGAATTCTGGATTGAAAGGACCATCAAAAATTACCCATAAATTTCTATCTTCATATTTCAGAAACTTCTTCACAATAAGTGAAAACAATCCTTCGGCCCACTCACCACCTCCCTTGTGCCTTCCGAAGATGATTTCGTTGCTGAGGCTTGCAGGATTCAAATATACAGCTTTATGTTTCTCGTCTATGCTTGCAAGCGCGGATATGAGTGCATTCATGGAGTAAGTCTTGCCAGTCCCAGAGCTTCCAAGCAACATTGTTTGTGGATGTGAATCGCAGTAGTCATAGATTTGAGATGTTTTAGGCAAGAGCTCTGTAATCTCACATGTTTTCAGCAAGACAGCTTCCAATTCTGAGGCCTTGAAATAATTGTTGGTGAGCTGGGAGCTTCTATCATGAGCTCCGCGTTGAAATATTTCAAACAGAAATATTTCAAATTCTCTGAATGCTTCTGGACTGACTTGAACAGAAACAACCCTCGCAATGTTGTTCGAAATTGATGAGAACTCATCGAAATCCGGATTGTTACCTTTCTCGTTGATGGAAGAATCGATGATCATCGCTATTTTCCTCAAACTCAGTACTGCTGGATTGATGGTAAACGTCATAGTTTGAACTAATTTCTCCAGATAGGCAAACTTCATTGCTATGTCCTTGGAATAAAAGAAACCAGCAACTCGAAGCTTGGTTTCAACAAAGGTTCCAATTTCAATACCCTGCAGGCTCACGGTTCTAAACATCGACCTTAAATTTGACGGGAATATCCTGAGATACTTTGCAGATGTCGTCGAATGGTCTAAACTTGCAAACAAACATGCATGTTGACAATTAGGTTTAGCCCGCTGCAATTCCACCAACTGTATAAGTTGAGTTGTTAGAACGGATAACAACGAAGGGGAAATCCTGTCCATAGATTTGAAATACGCCCAGCACGTTGATTTTGAGACAGCATTCAAAATGTTTGATAGGAAATTCAAGTTGTGGTCTGAAAGGCATTCGAAACTGACAGTAAACCTTCCTACCATCCTGGAAAGTTCATGTATTGTCTGATTCTTTTCAGTTTCAATGTCTCCTTTCACAAGAACGTAATTCACATTCATGAATGTATACATGGCAAATGTGAAGAAGCGATTGCTATTCGGATGCTGAACTAATCTTGGTTTACAACCTGAGAACTCATACTCATAGTTCATGTTTCTCCCCATCACTTCCATGTAGGACTGGTTTTCTTCAGCAGCATATCGATATTTCAGCTGCTTTTGCCAATCAAATTCCTGGCTGCTTCTCAGTTTCCTGTTCAGAAGCTCTGTGGTTGTGTCTCTTAATCCAAAGAGAATCGTCAAGGTTGATTGCACCTTGAGATATTCCGCAGCTGTCAGATCATGTTGAAATAGAGAAGAAACTCCTATTTGCCACTTGGATATGTATCCACTGACAGTGTTTCCAAGCCCTTTACCGTCCAAATCACTCGAAACTTTGGCTTCGACCAAAGATGTCCAGGTGATTTGAAACCACAGAATTCCAATCTGACAGGGCACGTCAAGGATCCAGTCAAACGCTTCCGGGTCAAGGATCATTGTCTCCTTCATCAACTTCTTGAGACAATCTTTGATTGCAATTTCCACATGGCACAGAACTGTCTCGATGCTGTTCTTGGACGAAACTTGCGTTTCAAACTCCAATACCTCTCCTTCACGTGATTCAATACTGACAATATCTCCTAGACCGGAATTGGAAAAATGAAACAATGCAATATTATCAAAAATTGTGAAAACCGCTCCTTTTTGGACATTGTTGATATCTCTTATCGACGACATCCCTTCAAGCAGTAAAGAATCTGACAACAAGTAAAGACGAGGGAAATCTTGTCTTTTCTGATTCAAATATCCCGCCAAAAACTTCTGACAGGACTCAAATTCTGTCTTCAAAGAAGAAAATTGAGACTTGAATCCCTCTGAGCGAGAATTAATGAGAGGAACATATTTCAAATTGAAGCATTCATCCATTATTTTCAAATAGGCTGCGTCTATGGGGAAAAAGTTTTTCGCTTCTGGTGGGAGTTGCTTTTTCACTCCATCTGCAGAAAATGCCACTTTAACATTCCACCAGACATGCTGAATTCCAAGCCATGAATCAACAAGGTCGATGAAAGAAGAAAATTTTCCCATCAAGTCGTTGATTTCAGTGATAAACTGCTTCGATTTTCTCATGAAAGATTGTAGGGTAATTATTGCTTCTTCAAATTGTTCAATTAGATGTTGAGCTGCATTGACTCTTATCATTACTTGGTTGGAGTTCGATGACTTTTCAAATGGAACAGAGGACTCCTCCCATAATTTATACAGCTCTTTGATCTGCTTCTCAACACTGCATTCTTGCTCTGCTAAGGCGTATATATCTTCAACAATATTGGTGTAATCAAGGATGTTCGTCTCGAAAACATCTTTTACAATAAAGTTGGAAGATTTGAAATCTAAAGAGATGTTCATTCTCATTGTCAGTTGCTGCCAGTGTCTGGGTAAGAAAAATGATGTTTGGAGCATTTTGATCAGAGGTAAAAGCTGAGATGTCAATTGGAGCTCGCTTTCCAAATTCTGAAATGCTCTATAGTCAGAGAAGGTTGGAAAGTGTAGATGGAGATCTCTTTCAATGTCCTTTAGTCGTTCTTCTACTTGACCAAGACGTGAAGACACTTTTGTCCACCTTAAATTCTTGAATCCCTCGACAGTGTCGATTCCAGCAGAATATAAAGCAAAGAATTGGCAGAGTTTGGCAAATTCTTTGCGAATTCCTTCGAATTCTGAGAACTTTGTCTTTTCAAGCCCAAATAGTTCCTGACCTTGATGCAAGCTATTCAATTTTTTCAGCTTCTCATCAAACTGCTTTTGGAACCTTGCAATTCTCTCAAGGGCAACTTCCGGAGACAAATCTTTATTTGAAGGCCCTGCTGCTTTGTACTCTTGCTGCAAAGCACGAATCTCATTCATGAAACTGTTCATAGCAATTCGCAGATCAATCTTGAAATTTTGCTGTGTATGTTTTAGTCTGTCAGACGTCTTCCTTGCATTCACTAGCAACTCATTCCAGGCATTCTTGATGTTCGTGTGCAAATCCAGATTTTTTTCAGAGATGTAACCGAATTCAACAGCAACCCTACACCTGGAATCTATGGAAATGAGAACCTGTTCGAAATCAGCTTCAACCTTGTGTATTTCTGACAGAGTGTCCCGAGCCAACACAACTTCGTCTAGATCACGAATTCGAGTTTTCAATCTAGAGTTCATGTCAATAATCCACTCCATGTTCACATTGAAGTCTTCTTCAGCTGACAAAAATAATTGTTTGGTGTACAAGAACTTCCAGTCCCGAACGATACCCACAACTTTCTGAATCATCTTCACGTTTGAAACACATATTGGTCCGAAAAACGAAGCTTTCTGAATGTTTGAAATGCGTTGGATGAGCAGATCAAAATCATGCAATCTCTGGATGTAATCATCAACCGTTGGATCAGTGCTCAAGAATTCTAATAGATCTGACCGTTTGTCCTTATTCCAAATGTAATCGAACTCATGATATGAATCAAGGTATCTTTGAATTGATATGTTGACCCTCTCTATGCTACCTGTCAATATCAATACCAACCGTACAATCTCAATACTTTTTAAAATTCGTGTTGAAATAGAATACCTGAAACAAGAACAATCAGCATTCAATCATGTTTTTTCAAGAAGTTTGTACACTCGGACTGACCTTTGAGCGTCTTTCTCAAGAAAAATTCTCCAAGGAGAAATTTTGATTGATTTCAACATATGCATAGCAATGCGATTCACAGCCTGTTGCATTGTGGCCAGGTCAGGCGTTATCTGTAGTCGAGGAGGAATCAGTTCTAAGTTGACCATGAATATGGGATTCATCTCGCCGAGCACATGATCTTTCAAAGTCCCACGTATTCTTGTCTTCAGATTATGAAAAGATGTCTTGACACAGACTAATATAGCATGATACGCCATTTCCCACACATCCTCAAAGAATTGTTGTTCCGACTTTTTGGTAAAAGTTTCATCATTCTGTACAGTGTAACGAATCATGTCAAGAATGTCGAATATCGCGATCTCTATTTCTAAGCATCGTTGATCAATGAAATTGACTCTTTCTTTTATCATTTCTTGTTCTTTCGTGATAAATGCACTGACACTTGTTATTTCCTTTGGCATATCAACCAACTGAATTGTTGTTATGAATTTCAAATTTCTCAGAATTCTGTTTTCATAAATGTCCTTGGCTTTTCTAAACACAACCATAAAGTAATTCAAGTAGTCTTGAATCGACAATATATACGAGTCCAGCCCCAAATTTGTCCACTTTATCTCAGTCTTTCCTCGACTTAGAAGTTGTTCAATTCGGGACAAGTGCCCATAAAATATTCCGCTCCAGATTGAGCTTATCATTTTCTTAAGAGAACGGTAATCACTTAGGGCAAATTGAAGCTTTTCAAGAGATATTTTAAGGAACCACTCCCGTTGAATAAGTTCGTGTATGTCCCGAGGCACTTTTAGACCAAGCATCTTCATGAATTTGGCTTCTCGTAGAACCAAAAATATGTTTGAGTCGAAGTTCGCAAAACAGTCACCATTCGATTCGTCATAAGCAATGACTGCTACTTGCAAACAGTTGTGTATAGTCTCAACCGATTGTAACCAGGAACGTTCAAGTACGATTTCATACTCCATCAAGACTTTGGCGATTTTGTTATATTTCCGAATTATTGCTTTTGACTCTTTTGTAATCATGAGTGCGTTGTTTTCTTGGAATTTTTGCATAGGAATTTCAATTAACTTCAACATTTGTCTTGCCCACACAATTCTGCCTGTGACTGGAGGAAAATTTCGAGGCATAGGTGGTTCATATTTTTGTGATTCATACCTTTCAGTGACGATATCTAGATCCTGAGAAAAGTTGATGAAGATCTCCATCAGCTTTTGATTCAAAAAAGGTTTCAGAGATTGCCGTCTCATCAAGGCTTTATGCTTTGAGAGAATTTCTAAGGATTGTTCAGTTGTTTCTGCTTCTTTGAAGTCATCTTCAATAATTCCCCTCAGCCCTTCCTCCAAATCCTCAACAATCTGAAGAAATTTCAACGATAAACAATTAAGAAACAGAATCGTACCTCTTTAAAATAGGTGAAGTCGCGATCAAAAGTTTGGTCAAAAAAATCCATTAGATCAACGTGACGGCTCTTAATAATATTCACTGCAGCGAAGTATTGGTCACATACTGGGCCAAGTCCCGACAAGCTTTGTGTCGACAGGAAAGTAAACATGTCATGAATAGAGAAGAGTTCTAAAAGTTTTTCTAAGCGCAATGCAAATCTTTCATACTTGGCGAATATTAAAGATTCGTTGAATGAGAATGGCAGCTCTTTCATCGCACCTGCTTTTTCGCGTTTGGCTGCTCTAAATTGAATTTGGTAATGACGATTGAGGTTAAGACATTCCTGGATTCTGTGAAATATCGTTTTTGAATCATTCTTCCATAGCACTCCATTCATCTGTATGTACTCCTTACAGCGACGTATCATCTGATTTGTCACTCTTACGAAGAGAGCCGTCATACTCTGACCACTCTGCAGATACTTCGACATGACACGCACCATCTTGATCTTTGAAAACATAGACGGGAGCTCTTCAACAATCTTTGCAGGATTTCCAGAGTACAAAACTTCGAAATTTCTGTTGAGACTAGTCAGATGCCGCACATTCTCGTGAGATTCTTGTATTGATTCGCGGAGCTCGACGAATAAGTCATCCCATTTGTTTCCTGCCTCGCTATCAAAGTCTTTGAATGCTTTCAATATCTTTTGAGAATCGTCTGCTTCTAGTTGTTCGTGCAATGCGTTAAGGCGGGCCAGGCGCTCCCTCCAAAACCTGTTCGATCATGCTTCAGAAACGAGGAGACAACGAGTGGTGAAAATCTTACTTGAGGGTTGAATCCGGTCCTGACTCTTTGTCATCATTCAAATCTTCTTGTCCGTAATGCAAAACCTTCTTGGCTGAGTTATACCAATGTCCAAGGAGATGTTGAAGTCGATGTTGTATTTGTATCTTCATTTCCGAGTTGTTTGGAGCATCCATCAGTTGAGTAGAGAGCCGAGAAAGTAATTCCTCGCCTGGCTTTTCCAACCTCACCCTTGAGTCAATCGTCTGGACCAGGTCAAGTAAAGACATAGAGAATCTTGAAAGCTGATTTCTGAAATTATCTGTGTTGTCTCTGTGTCCTCTCAACAGATTTGCCTCTAACAAAGGGACGTATACTTCCTGTATCATGACATTGAGGTTCTTGATTGAATGGCTCCCAAACAGCCCAAATGATATGTCCTTATTGCATTCTGATGATACTGCGACATTGTCCTCTATATTTCTGAGGAAATACAACACCTTCTCGTTTTGCACGCTTTGTAAATCAGCAAGCTCATTTGTTACCATCAACTCGTTTTGATGCTGGTTGAAGCAGCAAAAGATAGTCCTGACAAAGGAAATTGAGAATGTAAATGACAGCAGGATCACAAAATACCTGTATCCATTGGCTTGAAAGAACATGTTCACAGTCTTCAATGTGGATGGATTCGAGACTTGCTTTTCAACATGGTCGACATCATCTACTTGGAGTGCGTTTGCTATCTTCTTTGATAGCCATAAATGACGCTTATCAATCACTAGAGCATTGTCCGACATATTTTTTCGCCTTGACATCTTCTTCAAGACGCTGATGGCCATTTCTTCGGAACGGTGTTGTCTCTGACTGGCCCTCACTTGGAGTACCTAGAACCGTAATGTATCTTTGATTAGCGAAGCAGAACCACGCTCTTTCTCTTCAAAGTTGGACGCTCTACTCTGCTAGCTTCTCTCCCCTTGTCTCATCTTCTCGTTTCTCTCTCCTCTTCCCTTGCATCGCCTCCCTTCGTCCCGCCTCTTCCCTTCTTTCCTCTTCCATTAGTCTCATTATCTTTCTCCGTTCTGTCTCCGTTGCTCTCGTTGACTAGCTGGTTGTCGGTGTTGCCTCTCTGCCCCATGCACCCGTATGCTCCCTGCCGTCGCCTCCCCCGCCTCCTCTGTCCTCTACTTCTCCTCGCTCTCGTCCCCAGCACATGCTCCTTTCTGCTCTCACCCGCGTCGCTTCTTGCTCATCGAGAGGCTCTCTCAGTTGCTGCAAGGCATCAACTCGCTCGGAACAGCATTCCATGCCCAGCCGTGAGGATGGTGCGGGATGAGGGCGAAGAAGACCGCAAGTACATGAGAGTAGCTCTGGATGAGGCCAGGAAGGGCTTAGGCAAGACACACCCCAACCCCTGTGTTGGATGCGTGTTAGTCAAGGGAGGACGTGTTGTCGGCAAGGGCTATCATCCCAGGGCTGGCATGCCGCATGCCGAGGTTGGGTTGCGAATCAAACTGGCGGTTGCCTCACCGTGATGTCAGGTGTATGCGCTCTACATGGCGGGGAAAGAGGCTGCAGGAGCGACAGCTTATGTCACTCTTGAACCATGCAATCACTATGGCAGGTACGAACACGCGCTGCTCGCACTCCCTTCAACCACTAACAACCTTTGAAGAACCCCCCCGTGCAGCCTTGCACTGGTAAATGCAAAGGTGACCATGAAAGTAGCTACATAATTCATGAGCTCAATGCACGCCAGGTCGGTCGAGTCGTTGTTGGCATGGCAGATCCGAATCCCCTCGTGAACAACAGTGGCGTGGAGACGTTGCTGAGGAATGGGGTAACTGGAGAAAAGAACGAACGAATTCATCTAACAGCTGTGCACTAGATCCCTGTCACGTTCATCGGAGAGCAAGAAGAGCAAGAGGTCCGATATCATCTGGAAACTGTGCTCCTCATGATGTGTCTCCCAGGCTAAGAAGATCACCGAAGACTTTGTCAAGATGATTTTGAACCCCAAAGGTCATCAAACCTTGCAAGGTTCCAAGGAAACATGGGGTGGAAACTATTCTCTTGAAGTAGAGTATGTCTTATTGAAGCATGTGGGAGATTCATTTTAACTCCACTGTAAAGGTTTGTTGTGCAGTTGCTTCAAAGAGTGTTGACCGACACTGTTCCTGCTGACTGTGAACAAAATGTAAAATCAATCTGTTGTAGCTTACACTGAACAATCGCTCTGATTTACATTCTCAGAGGATAGATTTGACCGTAAATGCCGCCATCTCCAAATACTTCAAGGTGAAGTCTTGTTCTGCTTGCTTTTCCTGTACTTTACTTGTTGGGGATTTACATTCAATACTTCAGGAATGCCTTGCAGAAGAGAAGCTGGTATTGAAGGATGAGCGTGATGTCGAGAGACTGGAGCAGAAGTCATCCGAGGGAATGATTCAGCGTTTGAAAGCAAGTTTGGGTCCACAACCACTGAGTTCGAGCAGAGAGGTTGAATGCAACAAGTCAAAGTCTGGTTGTGAATCTTATTCAGGCGTCCAAAGCAAGTCGATACTGGTTGTGGCATTGCACCTCCGAGAAGTACGGCAAGACAAGTTCACATCTCCTTGCATCGATCGCTCTGGTAGAGGACAACCAGGTATGGTGGGATGCAGAAACATGCTGAGGTGACGTTGGAAAAGGTCAGGATGTCGGCTGTAGCAAACTCCATGGCTCAGAATGGCTCCTGCATCATGGCTGCTGTCAAAGGTCAAGGATTGCGATATTGGCCTCTTGCTGGAGGAGAACCCTCGCAGATGACGCTTACCATGGTGTGCCTCATGAAAATGAGAGGAGGTCTCATAATTCCGCAGGAAGAGAACAGGGAGAGATGCTGGGAGCAAGTGAAGTACGACTTCAACTCTCTGTCGTGAGTTCTTGCAGATGACGAAATCAGGATGTTGATTGCTGTGTGCGAAAGGACGATCCCGTCTCCTCGAGCAGGGTTGGATTATCCGCCATGGCTATGCAGCGGGCGGTGCTCAAGAGCTCCGTTCTCTGATGCGGCACCTGCCTTGGGTAAGAAGCTTGAGGAAGTCTCTTGTGATTCATGCGCTGCAGACGTCGGAGGAGGAGTCCTTGAGCACTACTGGCGTGTGTGTCAGGTTGCTGACTGACGATAACGAGGTCGACATGACAAGGAACAGGCACGAGCTGCTGCTTGCTTGCACTCGAACCCTGAAGGGTTTAGTGCCGCAGAGCACGGGGCAGGTAAACGCAAGTCGCTGTTCCTTACCGGTGAACATGTCGATCAGGGATACTATGCGTAGAAGAGAGCGGAGGGAAAGTGACTGACAAGCATGGGAGGCGAGTAACGATCGAAGCTGCTGGTAAGGCACGAAGGTTTTCTTGCATGAGTGACTTGGTGAGAAGGAACGAGGGATCTGCATATGGATGCAGCTGATACTATCATCGTCCTGTCCTCCTCGACCTCGCAGCAAATCGAAGAAGTGATCATCGCATCTCAAGGATGAAGTGAATGATTTGATGTCAAGAGATTCCAACCGCAGATGTTTCTGAGAACCCGTCGACGTCAAGTCGACTTGTACAGCTGGAAAACATGTAAATGGTAGCGAGAAGATGGTAAAGAGTTGATATTTACTTGAATACATCTGGAAACAACATGATACTACCTACACATCTAGAGAGATGGCTTGTCACGATAGAAACTTGAACTCTTCCACGAAAGAGCGCTGCAGAAAATCTTCAGCTGTGACAGCAACGACAAGCACTTGCCTTGTTGGCGTCGGTGGGGAGACATTTTGACGGGGGCTGGGCTCGTAATTCCTGGCGACGAACGCAAAGTCAGGAGGAGGAGGTGGTGGTGGAGGAAACCAGAAAGAGGAGGAGGAGGAGGAGGAGGAGGAGGAAACAAGAAAGAAGACGTTAAGAGAGAAGTGGGGGGGGGACAAGCGGATTGAACGAGTACGAGAGCTCGAGAAACGAGGAGCGGAGCAGGCGAGGGGTAGAGGTTTCAGATGACGCGGTTGACAGAAGGGGAGGAGTGTGTTGGAGGTCAGCGGCTGCAAGTCCCGTCAGAGACCGGCGGTCGAACGAGTCAAGTTGACCGTTGGAGTGACTCCAAGTGGGGGAGGCGGTAGAGGTGTGCGATCGATGGCTGCTGGGAGTTGAGGCGGAGGCGCCGCTCCTCTCCATGTTCATCTCCGACGCCGACTTGCCCCACATGTCCTGAGCTCTGACGTGAGAAAAGTTCATGACGGCCTGCTGGACTTGACCTGGATGTCGCGGTCGTTCTTCCTTGCCAGTCCGATGGAGATAGGAGGGACGGAACCTGACAACGTGTCAAAGCATGAGGAGGAGGTGACGTGTCATGGGGACTGGGAGGGTCTCTTGCCTGTCAGCTCCTTCTGCTTGGTCTGGAAGGACAAGAGCATCGCAGCTCTCTCGCGCTGCTTCTCATCAGGCGAGGGCAGCATGCAGAGCTGTCGCACCTGACTCCCGAGATTCTTCTGGAAGTCTCGCAAGACCTTTGCTAGAGTCCCTTCCGTCTGCATGGGCGTCAGCTGGACTCGAGGAGCTCGTGTTACCTCGCTGTCCCGGTCGTCCGACTTGTTTCGCTTCCTGTACCTGAGAAGCGCATGAGCAGCCTGACACGAGCCGAGCAGATCGCCTACTGCATCTCTACTTCCATCTCGAACACTCGAGCTCCTGATGCAAACATGACGCTTGGGGAGGACGAGGAGAAGAAGGAGGGGGAGGTCGAGGAGTGAGGAGGGAGGAGAAGACCTGTCAAGATCTTGATCATGTTCTCACTGTCCTGCAGCATCTGCCGTCGCAACTCCAGCTGCAGACACATCCTCCCTTACACACGCCCAGCTCTCTCCCAGCAGCACACACCTGCAGCTGCCGCAGACTCCTCGTCTCCCTCTGCTGAGCTTTGACCGCAAGGATCACATCTTCGATCTCCGCCATACTGTCAAGGCCCAGCACCTGCACCTCCTGTCACCCGCCTGCCTCTAGTCGCAGGCGCGAGTACGGATTGAAGGCTCTCGTCTCTGAACTGAAACATCCTCACTTTGGCGTGCGAGAGGTTGTCCTTGACTATCCGTCACTTCCTTCACCTCCCGCCTCCAGCTTGCCTGCAGCTCGACTATCTTCTCCCATGACAACCTCTTCTCCTCCTGCGCGTCCTGGACGCAGAGACTTCAGAACAAGAGGAGGGGAGGAGAGCGGAAAGACCTTGAAGCCCTCCAACAACGACGTGTATCGCTCTCTGTTCGCCTGAACAAGTGTCAGTGCCATGAACTGCGTCGTCAGCCTCTACCTCGATATCTTCGTTGACTTCGTCGATGATGGAGCATAAGGTGTTAATGTCCTGAAGGAGCTGGTTTCTTTTCGTCACAAACGTCTCTCTCCTCCCTCCTCCTTCACCTCGTTTGCATACATGAAACTCTGATCAACAATATGCCTGAGGCCTTTCAACTCCGACTGGAAGCAAACAGAAGTCACAAGATGAGGAGGAAACAGCAACTAACTTCGTCTACTTGGTCGTGACTCAGGGTCGGTGTGTCCTGTAGCACGCAGGAGGAGTTACAAACAGCATGAGGCAAGTGCAGGCAACTTTGAGCTTCTCTATCTCATCCCACGCGTCTGTCATGCAGTCACACAACCCTCATCCTCCTCGTCTTGCTCTCTGCTCGCCTTGTAGCCTCATTTCCAGCACGTGACCATCTCGAGTTCGTTCATCAATGGAGGCCGTCAACATTTTCACCTGCTCCTTCAGCTCCTCTTCTCTCCTCTCCAACTCTCCCACGCTGCCAAGTCTTATCAGCTCGCCTCCTGCATCCTCGTCGGCTACCTTGTGTCCCTGTCTCTCTTGGTCGCCTCCAGCTCCTCCGTAAGCTTGTCGATGGAGCATTTCTGGCTGGCGATCTCTTCCAGCATGTCGGAGATATGGTTGATCAAGTTGCTCTCCTGCTGGTGCATCGACCCTGACGCTCGCTGCTTCGCCTCGTGCAGCTCCCGCAGGTTCTCCTCCTGCCTCCGCAGCCGATCCTCCAGCTCTCCTACCTCGCAGCGCAGGAGGCGGTTGTCCTCGAGGACTTGTCGCAGGGAGGAGGCGAAGGAGGGAAAAGCACGAGAGCTGTCTTCCAGCAAGTCCGCTGCCTTCTCGCACATGCTCATTCGCTTCTCCTCCTCCTCCAGCCCGGCGATCGACTTCAAGTGACTAGCGTTCACTAGCGACAGGAGGGCCTGGGACTGCGCGAGGAGGCGGTCGATAGTGCCTCCTGCTGCCTCTGCCCCTCTGTGAAGAGAGGAGAGAGCCTGGAGGAGCAGAGACTCGAGCAGCTGCACGGGCCCCTCCAGCTCTTGCGCGCGCTCGTCAAGTTGCGAAAGGAGCGTCAAGCTTGCCTGAGTCAAGTCGCACAACTTCTGTCGCTCCAGTGAGATCTCTTGCTTCAGCCGCGTCTTCTCCTCCTCCGCCATGTCGTCCACATAGTCCAGCCTCTCCTGAAAGTCGCTGTGCATCGCTCGCTCTTTTTCGGCTGCCTCCTCTCTCAACACATTGAGATGCTGGTGAGAGGCGATCAGCTCTGCCTCCCTCCTCCTCACTTCCTCTCTCAGCGCCGCATTCTCCTGCTCCTGTCGCTGCAGGCTTGCCAGGTGAGAGCCAAGGGGACGCAGAAGCGAGGCGACGGCATCGACCTGTGAGATGAGAAGCTGAAGCTCCTGATCCTCTTGCTCCATCCCCTCTAGCAGCAGCAGACAGTCTTGCTGACAAGAATGCATTCCGTCTACGACGAGAAGCAGCGAGTGATGAAAGTGTTGAGAGCTAGCTGAAGCAGTGCTGCACTCATCTCGTAGACTGACGTGGCAACTAGACAAAGAGTCTTGTATGTCGCTCAAATCTTTGCAATGATTGAACAATTGATGGGAGACAGAAGACTTGATCAGTTCTGATTCTTTCATTCGTCTCTCAATGGCATCTTGCCTGTCGTGATTTCTTGATTGTTCGTTTGAAACAAGTGAAAGACTATTTATCAGCATCTCAGCAATGCTTTCAGCCTGTCTCACAGCCAGCTGGGCTTGATCATCAATGTGTCCACTGATGTCATGTTCTGCAATCTTAACCTGTTGAACAAGACTTTTCTCTTGTGTTCGAATGTCTCGGAGACAACTCAAAGTTTGCAGATGCGACATCATGGCAAACTTGGAAGCCTGTAGAACAACAGCGATCTCTTGACTTGCACTGATCAAAGTTTTCTCTATCACCCTGCAATCCTCACTCATCCTGCTGATTTCATCAACAAGAAACTCGTCCTCTTCCACAACATTTCTGTTCAGCATGACCAGCCTGTCTTGCAGCAGTGTGTTGTTCTTTGACATATCCTCAGCGACGAGTTGCTGACGATGAAGTTGGAAATGGAGGTCTGAGTTGCGCCTGGACATTTCTTCCAACAGAACCTCACATATCTTGACTTTTTCTGTGACGTCTGACAAACTTTCCACGTTACCTTCAAGACTCTGCAATCTCATGACAACTTGTGCTTTCTCATTTTCTTCTTCGAGCCTCCACTGTTCAGTCTTGTTCATCTTTTCTTCCACCTCCCGCACCCTCTTCATCAGATCGTCTCGTTCTTGGGATACTTCAAGCAGCCTCCCTCGCTCCTCCTTCAGCTTCGCTTCTTCTTTCACCGACATTTCTTGTCTCTCCCTTGCCATGTCTTCGCAAGCTTGCAAGCTTTCACGGGCAAGCGCGCGGAAGCTTTCCATCACCTGGCTCAACATCTTCCGATCTTGTGCTTGTTCGACGAGAGACCTTTGAAGCTGTTGCTTCTCCTTCTCAACCTCGAGCAGCAAATTCTCAGTCTCCCTCAGAAGTTTTTGTTCCACTGCTTCCTTCCTCCTCTTGTCGGCTACCTGGTCGTTCTGAGCTGCCTGCGTCTCCTCTTGCAAAGAAGAGAAGGTCGCACACAAGGAGGAGACAAGGCGATCAAGAGCAGCGAGAGAGTCGCGTGTCTGCTGCTCAAGCTCCTCCATGCGACGGAAGGAGGCGAGGGAGCAAGCAGACGTTTGCTTCAACTCCTCCTCCATCTCCCTGAGCTGCTCCATCAGCTCCTGCACGACCTTCGAGCTCTCAAGCTGCTCACGATCCCTCTGATGGAAGTTGTGCATATACGTAGACACACATCTTGTGATCAGCTCACTTGTTCGCGTGACAAGCTCATCGCAGACTTTCATCAGACCGTCGCCCTGGCCTTGTGCTAGCAGCAACAAGTCCTTTGATGTCATGAGACTTCCCTCTAGACCCCAGCAGAGGCTCTCGACTCCAGCGATGGCGCTAGTAAGTGACAAGCTTTGCTCCTCGTTCACCGTCGCATCGCCGATCATTTGACCTCTCAGGTCAAAGATCAAGACGGACGCGTCCTTCACTCCCATTCTCATCTCCTCCACAGCAAGCTGAACACTATCACGCAGACTCTGCAGATCTTTCTCCTGCTCAGCCAGCCGGCTCGGGTCGACTTGCTGCTCGCCAAAGTCGCTGCAGAAGTCCGACAGGTCCTCTGAGATCTCCTGAACTCGGATCGTGAACTCTCGGAGCTGAGCAGAAGCCACCTCTTGCCTCTCGCGCTCCTCTACCCTCTGACTCGCTCGTTCACGACCCTCTCTGTCCAGCCTCGCCTTCAGCTCCTCATTCTCCCTCAGCAACAGCTCGACCCTCATGTTCTTCTCCTCCTCTTCCTGCAGCACGTGAGTCCGCAGCTCCTCTATCTCGAGGATGCATGGCAGCAGCACAGCAGCTCGCAGCGGTGAAGCTCCCGACGCGCAATCTCAATCTTCACTGCGTTCGTCCCCTGCAGCAGATCTGCGTCCCTCCGCCAGCTGAGCTGCTGCTCTTCCTCCTCCTTCCTGTCCTGCAGTTCTCGATGCTTCATCTCGGCTTGAAGTTTCGACACCTTGTGAGTCCAGGACGACTCCAGCTCCTTCTTCTCTCTCTTTGCCCCCTCCAGCTCATCTCCGAGCTCCGCGAGTCTTTCCCGCAAAGTTCTCAGCTCTTCTTTCACTTTCTCCATTTCCTCGCTGCCCAGCCTGTCTGTCCTCTCCTCGAGACTTCCGCGTGGTGCCGCAACTTCAGCATCACACGGCAAGGGTTTGCTGTCAGCTGCAGAGAGGTCCTCGTGCTGACCCTGGAGATGTAGCAGACTTGCAGTCATCTCCTCTACCTCATGCAGGATGGCCCGCATCGCATCCTCGACCATGGGACTGAAGCTCTGTTTCGCCTTGATCTCGTCCTCTCGGTCGATTCGGAGGGAGTCAAGGAGCAGCTGCTCCTTGATCAGCCGTTCCGCTAGAGTTTCGATCTCGCGCTCAAGCAAAGACTTGCTGGAAGCCAGCTCCTCGTTTCTTCTCCTCTCTTCCCTCAGAGACCGCTTCACCTCCTCCAGATCTTCTTCAGTCCACACAAGGTCTTGTAGCACCTGCTCTTTCGTGCTGTTGCTCATTTCCACTCTCTCAAGCATCCTGTCAATGAACAAGTCGTCGTCCATTCTCTTTGATTCAAGTTTCATGAGCAGGTTTTGTAACTTCGTTTCCAGACTCGTCACTGATCTTTGAACATCATCGATACTGTCTTCACATCCATTCAACGTGTGATATCCATTCAAGATTTGATCAGCATGTTGATCAGCGCAGCTAAGACCACCATCTCCCTCGACCTCTCCGTTGGCTGACAATTGTTCCTCACGTCTCTTTAGAGCTGATTTGTCCATTGGGCAAGTTCCGTCATGACTGCAAGACAAGACAAGGTCATGAGACAGGTCAAGATAAAGTGCGATCACCTGTTTCTGACGATCAACTCGAAACTTTCCAACTTGTTACAAGTCTTGAGGTGATGGGAGGTGACCTCTTGACACAAAGTTTCCAAGGTTGACAACATACCGTCCACCTCGCAATGCAGCAATTTCATGCAACCTTGCATCTCAGAGTTCTCTTGCTTCAGAGCATGAAGATCAGCTCTTAGCACCATCTCCTCCCTCGCTGACTGCTCTCGAACTTTCGCTTCCTCGTCAATCTTACGTTGCATTCTGTCTTTCTCAAGCAACATCTCTGCTGCTAGTTCTTTATCTTGGTGTAGGTGCTTGATCAAATCCTTCACTATGGAGGAGAGAGTTGCTGTCTCGACTGTTCCTTCACTGACAGATGTCTCCAGCATCTGCCTTAGAGCGTCCACATCTTGCTCTATGCTCATCATATTGACGAGATGGAATTCGTTGCAAATCGAATCAAAAGCTGGCAAGAGAATGCCGCAGGTTGCAAAAGGTTGTCTGGCTCGCTTCCAAACAAGGAAGCCATCGTCTGATAGCGTGAAGACGATCCCTTGTCTGGGCAGAGCTCATCTCCATCTATATCTGCAGGCAAACGACATTCAGAATCTTCAGAGCGGCCCAAAATTGCCTTCGGCCTCGTGTGTTCACTAATGTGAAAAAATGCAGAGGACAGAGAGGATAAAAGTGAACAAAACAATCAATAAGCGGAACTTTGAGCAGCAGGAATAAAGGCACCTCCCCCTCCTGATTTCAGACGGAATCATTGTAACAGGTATGAATCGAGTACATTCATGGAGCATGATCAGCAAGCAAGAACGGGGTCAAGAGCATGAACGAAAGGCGATACAGCAGTAGCAAGATCAGATGCTAGAGCATGAGGAGGAGGAGGAGGAGGAGGAGGAGGAGGAGGAGGAGGAGGATCAACAGCAGAAGGAGAAGAAGCAGCGGCAAGAGAACATCTCATGCCGCACATTTCTGTCCAGTGCTTGTCAAAAAAACATGACTTTTTTTAAATACGGTTTTCAGTCGGACTCCTTTTATGCGGCTGTGAGACGAGAGGCTGAGGGGTGGATGCAGTGAAGATGAAGATGAGCGAGGAAAGAGACGATGAGGATGAAGAGTTGCAAGCGAGAACAGTAGCAATGATGGAGTGAGCATATAGAACTCATAGCAGCCCTGACGGGAACAACTCGTCTTTAATAAGTCATTCAAGAAAGCCGCGCAAAAACAGGAAACCAATCTCCTGGTCTCCGCAAAGATCGGGAGGTTCAAGCATCGAAGTCCATCGTGAAGTCATACTCAATAGTGGGAATGATGGAGGAGATAAACCTGTAAAGCGAGGATCAGAAGAGAGGAGCAGGATTCTGCCGGCAGCACTTGAGGAAGAGGAAGAGGGATTGGTCGGGCCGCATCTGCCTTCCAGAGTCTCCTGATTCGATCTAGGGAAGCAAGTCAGCGACAGCTTCACTCCCCCAACTCTCTTCCAACCTGATCTATGATCCTTTTGAGGGTGGGCGCATGCCTACCAAGAGGTCAGGACCTATCAACAACCCCGACGCTACCCTCACTTGCAAGGATGGACCGAGGCATGCGAGACGCCAGGTACGTGCGGATGCGGGTCAATCGTCACCGTCCTCTTCGCATGGTCTTGCGACATGTCCTCGAACACCTGGACAACATATGAGCACCTCGAGCAACGAGCGGCAATGGCAGAAGTACTTGCGCGTGGGTGAGAGGCCGTCCATCTTCATCATATCCGAACAACCACATCCTCGGCACCTGCACTGCCATGTCACTGCCCTTCAGTGTTAACAAGTACACGTCAACCATGTAATACTTGTCGTAGGTGATACTTATGTTGTACGATCTTGTCTTTACGAATCCAGAACTCGCACTTGCAGCACCTGCCGCTGGAGAAGGGAGAATTCTGCACAAACGCGCAGTCAACCAACCCATCCTCTGCAAGAACGTTTTCATCAGCATACACAGATGGGTCATCAGGAAGAATGGCGTCATCTTCGTCCAACTCCAAATCGTCTAGATCAGGAACCTGGAGAAACATCAGCAACTCAAACACCCAGCACGATAATTTACATCCTCGTCCTGGCTTTCTGGTGCAGCAGTAACAGGAGCCTTTACCTCCTCTGCCCCCACAAAGTAGTTATGCAAAGGCAAACAAAAGAAAAGATTGTCTCGTGAAGAGTCGCACCAGTCCCAGAAGTTTCCATGCTCTTGGGCTCCTCTTCTGCATCAATGTCCTCAATTTCTCGTGCTTCACCGTCTTTCGCCTTTCGAAAGAAGTCATTCAAAAGTCCTGGCCATTCTCAAGCCAAACCGCTCCCAAAGTTTGAGTGTAAGTCCATTCCTCATCTTCAGCGTCTTCCATCTGACGAGCGAATGGATCATCTTGTTTGCCGCAAGAACCTTAACAGACCACATTACCGCTATCTCCCGGACGGATTCACCAAGGGCAGCCACTCGCTGGTGACATGGAACGTTCCTTGAACTGACTTTCAGCAAACAACTGACAGAAATGGTTTGATCAACCGCGTTATCAGATACTGCTTGTTCTTCGGTAAGTAGTCCTTCGCCTTCAAACAAAAATCATTCCACATGCAGGCCGATGTGGAACAAACCTTCGAGGGGTCGCCAGCTTCCCACGACCATGACGGGCACTTGTACACCAGCATGTCTCCTAGAATAGACGTCATTCGGATGGAGCTGACCGCTCGGTCATGAAGCAGATACCTGCAGCAACGAACTCTTCAGGAGTTAGCACCCCCTTCTCACGGAATTGAGACACGTGTGAGACTGAGGTCACTGACTCCACTGTCTCCTTGAAAACGCTGTGCACAGCGTGTTTCATCGCATCGAACATCGACATCTTTCCGAGTAGCTTGTTACAGATACTGCAAAAAGATGCCGTCAAATCGAAATTCAGAGTAATTCAAAATCCAGCATTTAGCTGCCCAATAGCAGTCGTCAATCCAAGTTTTTCGCTGTGTTCATCCCGAGACTTCTTCGAAGCTTGATCATACCATGACATCATCCACATCATCCCAACCATCTCTCTGCCCTGCTGCAGCACTCTCTCACTTCCTCTGAGCTTCGCGCTCTCATCCTCAGCTCCATCACGCTACCTCCATCCCCTCTCCCTTCCTCTTCCCGTCCAACCACAGCTCTGCATCCTGCCTCCTGCATCCGCAACGCACCACCTCACCCCGTGCAACTGAAGTCTACTACCCCTACCCACCAAATTATCCATATTTCTTTATAGTGGACCCCCTCCAAAGTGTCCTACGAAATCATGCACCCCCTCTTCTCCTCGGTTCACTGTTGTAGGGTTCTTGTTTTGAAAATATCAGCTAAATTTTCAAATGAACAGGAGTTTTTGAAATTTAATCTCAGTGTGTATTATCTCCGTAATTCGGCCCGAGTCATGAACGACGCCCGCCGGCGATCATCACAGAGTCACGCGGGCCGGGCCGATCACCGGGTGATTTGACGGAATACAAGTTTGTTAGACTTGTACTAGTCCAAAGTCACGCAGACGTCACATCGACCTTAGTTGTAACAAGACAGTTTTTGCTCAAGACCGAGTTTAATGTACACAAAACCAGAGTTGAGGAGCACATGAGAGATAGACTGTATGCAGGGATGTGAAACCCAAGCATCCAGACATGAGAGGACCTTAGCAAGACGGCTAGGAAAGCCCCCCTCTTCGTCCCACACGCTACATCGTCCGCCTTGCCAAACACGTAAGTCGTCTTGGTTTACAGGAGAGTTTTTGTTAACTCGGCGCTATCTGACTGGCACGGCTGGCATACGTTCCATCCTCCCCCCGAGTTTCTGAAATAGTACGTTACATCGGACGTCAGAAAGTCACACAAACAAGCTTGAAGAGAATGTCAGCAGAGTTCCAAGTCAAGATACGATGATACAACGTCAAGTTCACAGTCATGCTGAGTGGGCAATAACCATTCAAGGATTGTCCATTCTGAAGAAGAATTTCATGCAGGGCTATTAGATGGGCAGTGCAGAGATAAGGGAGATGCCTGGCGAGCTGATGCAATGACGAGAGAAGGAGGATAAGATAAGAGAGTCTGAGGAGAGAACTTCGGAGTTCAGATAACAGAGAGAGAGAGAGAGAGAGCGTGCCCGCCGGCATTTGAAGACCAAAAGATAAATTTTGAACCGTAAAGAACTTGTGACCAGAGATTGCTGCCGCGAGATGGAACATCCGTTTCAAGGCATTCGAAGATTGTTGTGCAGTTGTACCTTGTTCGCCGATCCAGAAGTAGCTCCAGTTATGCATGCCACAGCCTAGCTCCATGACATGAAAACTTCCGCCAGATCTCCTGGTAGTTCCATTTGATCCTACTCAAAGATCAAGAAAAATAAGAATCGAATCAGCTTCAAGTGCGTTTCCACACGGTTAAGCAGATATTCGACCGACCAATCTGGCTGGGGAAAGGCTTGTTTTTCCTATTCGAAGATCAATCAAACAAATTGAGGCTGAGATAGGCCTAAACAACTTGCGGCTAGAAAGAGAGCCTGATTGAAGAGAGGAGTCATCCGAATGTGTACAGCTTGATAGAATTTGCATGAATTGTCAACAGCAACGGGAAAACAATACCAAGAAAGAAAAAACTCCAGTAAACAATTCAACTAACCAAATATAAGATCAACATGATTGAGCATGTAATCGGGGCCCATAACCGACGGAATACAAGTTTGTTAGACTTGTACTAGTCCAAAGTCACGCAGACGTCACATCGAGGACACCGGGCCCGGGGCCATGACTCACTCGGCTACTAGTAAGTTGCGGCTAAACACACTAAGGACACGTTCAAACGGTTTCCGAAGTTCAGAAAGATAAATCTAGTGCTCGAGAGATTCGATCGAACAGTGCAAATGTCGTGGCTTGTTCGATGGTCACTCTTATCAACCTGCCATACTCATTACACAAGGCTCGGGAGTCTGTTTGAATTGGAGTAGAGTGAATACCGTGGTGTCAGCCCTGAGTAAAACGCAACCAAACCGCCCGTGGCATAGATATGTTTCATGCATCCCCATGTGGAATACTTAAACTTGGCTATGTGCTCTTTGTTTCCCTACATCGCGTCAAGATGATCATTGAATCATATGAAGAACAACCTGCATGTTGCTCTTGACTGTGTCTATAGGATGAGAAACAACAGCTGATAGTGCACCTGGGAGGCGAATGAGTAACCTCACTCGTTGAACACGAAAAGAAACCAGCGATGGCTCCAAGCAAGAAAACATCCCTTGTTGGTAGAGGGACGGCAGGGTCCTGAGATTGGATCTGATTCCTCCTCCATTTTGTCATTTCGTACATGGAGCCAAATCGAATTACTGTCGCGCAGGTCAAGCACAGCTGTTCGACAAAGAGTGAACCCCTCACAGCTGTTCAAGCACTGCTTCAGAACCGTCGGAGTCATTCCAGCAAACAATCCGTGACGAAATCCCTTGTAGAAGAAGAGGGTGACACAGTGCGCCTCAAGCCATGCAACCAGCGCTATACTTCTTCTTTCACAATGCTCTTGGTTGCGTGGAAAAAGTTGCGATAGATTGGATCTGAAGGCAATCAGCAAAGATGAGAAATGGAAGGGACAGACCCCGTCGCATTGAGTCTTGTTGCATTTTGATTTGGATACAGTGCATCCTAAACAGTCCCAGTCATCGAAAATCTTCACTTTTCAACGCCCTACGGCGTCATGCAAGTGCTCGACTCAACCAGTCCCGCGACGATACCTGACCGACAGCTTAAACAAGCAATAAGGGAAATTGGCGACACAGGCACATGCCTGCAACAAACACCGCACTTCCTGTGCGATCGCTGCTCTTCGCTACTTGCTCCCCTTGCCTTTCTCGACAAGATTCAAAGACCCGCAAAACGTACTCATACCTTCAAAAAAGTTGGAGCCAAGAGCGCAAATAGAGTACATCGTATACGTGGAGAATCTGAATGCTGCTCTTGGGAAGGAGAAGAACAACCAGGATGATATCCCATCATACCTACAAGTTTCATGGTCAAGATGAAAGTATACCAACAAAGTGGCGACTCACAGTCCCAAGGCGCCTTTACTCTTCAATGTGATTCGAAGGACACTAAGAAGGGATTCTGTAGCTTGTTGGCTTGTCTTCTTCAAACGAACATCCATGAGTGAATGCGGATGAAACGAAAGCGACGAACCGGTTTCAACTGCAGCTGGCACTTGGCGTACTCGAGAGGATAGGTAATGCAGATCTCGATGCCTCCAGTGATAGCTCCAGCAAGAAAAGGATGCTGAATGGAGTGAGAAGAGCACGTGCATGGTAGAACAGAAGAGCAGAAGGCATACCTTGGGTTTGTAACGAGTCTCGCCCTCTCTCCTCTTCTCTTTGCTCATCGTAACCCTCCGCTGGCGTGCTCTCCCCTGCCCATATTGCTCTGCATTATCGCTGCCCCGTGCCCGGAATGGCGATGCCCAGGCATTCCTCGCATTGTCCGGGGCGGGCCCGCTGGTCAAACTTGTCAAAGTCACCCGGCTACCGGACTCCGACTCGGGTAACCGATATCAGAGCATATCAGTGAAAACAGCTTTCAGAAAGTAAATTCAATCTGTGACATTTGAAAGTGAAGAGAAATATTTCACAAAGTCAAAATGAAGGGTGGGAAGGAGGGGATTCGGGGAAGGAGAGGAGCGAAGATGGCCGCTTGAGAGAGGATGTCGGAGAACGAGAGGCGAGGAATGAAGGGGAAAGAGCATGCAGAGCAGGAGACTCCCTTCTTGTTCCCAGACATGTCCTCTCTGATCGGAGAGGTCTTCAAACTACGGGAAGAGAACACCAGGTTGCGCCATGTCAACGAGAAGCTGGAGAAGGTCAATGACCCAGAGGAAAGATCTCTCTGGTTTCGAAGACGAACTCAGCTCCACAGACAGGCATGCATCACCTACAAGTGCTACAACATCTGGAACCTTCTCCGGTCAAGAGGAAAACGATGTGCACTGAACGCACATCATTACCGAAAGAAGAAAAATTGGCTCAAACTTAGAAACTATCTTAGTTTGTGGGCAAAGATGGCAAAGAAGAAAACACTCACACGTACTCTGAGAACAAACGACAAAAGCAAACCAGTCCCAAGACGGATACGAAAAGCATTGAACACTCTATCAAGGTGGCGACACAGGACGGCAGCGAGGGCGTACGAGAGCTGGCACGAGGAGGTACACAAGAGCAAGGTACAGGCTACGGTCATGAGCAAGATAGCGATGCGGTGGAAGGCTCGGGGGGTAGACCCTGCTTTCCAGACCTGGCATGTCAACGCGGTGAAGCAAGCGAGAGGCCGGGCGATAGTTGGGAGGATCGTAGAGAGGTGGCGACACAGGACGGCAGCGAGGGCGTACGAGAGCTGGCACGAGGAGGTACACAGGAGCAAGGTACAGGCTACGGTCATGAGCAAGATAGCGATGCGGTGGAAGGCTCGGGGGGTAGACCCTGCTTTCCAGACCTGGGTTTTAACGGTTGAGCGTTTGAAAAGCTGTCAGGATAAAGTTGACAATCTTCTGTTGCAGAAACGGGTTAATCTGCAACGTGATGTTTTAGGCAGTTGGGTCACTCTTTTATTTGGGCTGAAGCAAGGGCGAAAGGTTGCAGAGTCTTTACTATGTTCGCGCAATGTTCGCCTGCTTGAGAGTGTTTTTCGAGTTTGGATTCTTGTTTTTGAGTTGAAGCCCATGGTTGATCTACAACATCATGCTCAACTCCGTCGCTTTGTCACGCGTTGGAGAATCATTGCGTTGAAGAATCCTCCGAGAGATCCTCCCAGTATGAAAGTTTCGTCGATGAGGCGGAGTGTGTCTTGTCCGTCCATACCCTCCAAGAAGAAGTTCAGGCTGTTTGCTCAGATTGAGAGCTTTTGGTTGGTGCATGGTGAACTTTTAGCCCAGCTAAGTATCTTTAGGTATAAGCGCGCTTCCGAGTATTGGGACAAGAAGGAAAGCGACTTGCAGGCGCTGCATCAAATGCGACAACGAGCAGAAGAACAGGGCAAGCTGTATCGAGCAGCAAAGAGCTCCGAGATCATTGGTGAGATGGCATGTTTCTCTGTGACTATCTCACAAGTTATCAGCTCCACATTTGTTCGATCATAAGTACCAAAGTTCAGGAGACTTCACAAGGTCTGTTTGCACTACTGAGTGCCAGCGATGTAACGAGGTGCAGGGAGGATAACGATCTTGCTGTCCCTGTTCTCCTCGACTCCGTCGTGCACGGTTTGAAGAAATCTGTAAAAGTAGGACAAGTCGAGCGCTTGGAGCAACAGATCCAAGAGTTGAAGGTGTGTCTGGTCGAGGATACAATTTCTCACGTTGAGAACAGAAATATTGTCGGAGACTTGAGAAGGACCATGACAAGCGGCTGCTTCAGAAAGGGGGAATGGAAGATCTAGACGGGCATATCATCTACCTTCCTCCTGACACCCCCCGCAGCGGCTTCAGCAGCGTCCTTGACACTCCTCGCTCCACCTACCTGAGCACCCCGAGGCTCCAAGAAGCTGGAGTAGAGGGTCAGCGACTGGATTTCGGTGGAGGTGGAGGAGAGCAAAGCTATGCTTGGCCGTCAACTCCAAGGAGCCTCAATCATCAAGATTTCATAAGATACGTGCTATAGTCAAGAGTTTCTGTTGAAACAAAAAAAAAAGCTGCCACAGAATTCTTCTGACTAAATTCAATGGAGCCTTCTAGAGATCAAGCCGACCGCCCCTGTTTTCCTTCTAGTGTACTCGAAGAGTTTGCATGCACCGCATGACGTCGTTAGATCCTCGCTCGTGGATGTTGCTACGTTGTGACAAGGTCATCTCTTACATGGGATCGTTTTGCCTCACCTGAATCGGCGATTTGCAACAGGCATTATGTCCTGGTGAGGTCCGATAGACACCTGAATGCTCGTCAACCTCTCCTTCTTAGACTCTATGATGACGCAGCCTCACGTTCATGTTCGCCATGTGCTGCATCGGCGTCGGAGGCCTGCCGTGACCGAGCGGGTGAGCTCAGAACCGCAACGGGCCAACCCTTACCTCACAGGCAGACGACCCGTGTATGCAGTCGGAGAGAGAGGGAGCTGCAGGGTCCTCATTGCCTGCGGATGCCACAAGGTCATCTTCATGACGTGATCAAACCGTCAGTACATCACGGATGAAAGCTCTCTGTATCTGAGACTGACTAGCATGACTGATTTCCGGTAATCGCTGTAACAACGTGGTAAGAACGTGTCTGATTTGGTCAAAGTTCATCACTTTGATCATCTTGCTCTCGTACATGGCTGGTGCACCAGCACTTGTATTGGTCCTTCGGTACCTGAGTAAGATGAATTACGAAGTATCTGAATGAAAATGTGAAATACTTTGGCGAGTAAGGAGATTGGATTGGTGTGCTGTCGAACAATCCCGTCTCTGTCAGGGTCGAGCTGTAACCCGAGATAGCAAAGAGGTTTCTCAATCGTTCAGCTTCCAGACCCGGATCGGTCGTAAGCTGCTCATAGCGCGGCAAGGCAGTAGATTGCCTTCTGGCATTACGGGGCAGCCAAGAAACTGAAAACTTAGAAGGCTTGGGTGCCAACACCTTGGTTCGCAAAAACTCCCTAGAGGGTAATAGAGAATCAAACTACATCAACAAAACAATCGACATGAAACAGATCACCTTGAAGTCGAGTTCATAAAACGTTTTGATGTCCAGGAAATCTTTTAAAATTAGTGTTACAAGAATTGCGGGTATCAAAAAAGTAGCTCAAAATGTACGAAACCTGTCGTTATCTACCCCTTTGACCAACCTCCCAGCATGCACCAACTGACTTGAGCCCCACCGAACTGCTGGCCAACTCACCTCCAGGCATTCTTTCCTTCGACAGTCTCCTGTGTAGACCTTCTTATCCAACTCTGCACCCACAACCTGCTCTAGTTGATATCTTAGCTGTTGTTCTTCTCTCTCTCCTTCTCGATCTGCTCTCATTTGCTTTGCTCTCCCTGCATACTAGCACATGTCCCCTATTTCCTGTCTCGTCGCCCAACTCTACCCCGACCCCCATCAATTTTCACTTCTACACCCCACCCTTGTAGTCATCAAAAGTACCCTACCCCTGATAAGCTACTGCATTTTACCCACCCTTTCTAGGATTTGTTCACCACCCCTACCCTGTACTCTCCTAGGTCCATCCACCCCCCTCTATCATATCATGCAACCTACATTTTCTCGAAAAGTTGATTCTGCCTCCACCCACCCCTCATGGCATATCTGCTCCTTCCACCCCCTAAAGTGACCTATTCGTACCCCCTACTACAACCGCACCCACCCCCCTGCCTCCCGCAACATCGGATGATAAAGGAGTCAAGGCTAGTCAAGTTCCTAAACGTCGTAGTAACGGTTTGCAACGGCGGTGACGTTGTAACGGTCGCTGCCTTTACTGACAGTACTCTCAGTCCCTTCTTCCTCTCCGCTCACTCAGTAAAGTTTTCACACATCGTCTTCTGATCTCATCCTCTCCGTCATCAGTCAGGGATTTTGTGCCTGTTTATTTTATCTCCACATGATACGGAAACTTTGACAATGATTCACAAACAACAAAAGGAATTGGACATGAATTTCTCTCGTGATATCCACATTGCTTGAGTGTCTATCTACTATCATCACTTCAACCCGATGTTTATCCAATATCGATTTGTGAAATTGCCGCGAGCAGTTTTGCTTTTTTTGGTTGTTTTTGAAAAACAGCTCAGTTAGCCAAAACTAATTCAAATAAGAAATTCGATTGTGTCTCCACTCGGAGAAGCCGTCTGAAGTAGTAAAATGTGTAAACAATCGTTTTGTTTAAGTAAATCGTGTCCAATATGCTTCAGCTGCAAGTGTCCGAGGTTAAGTGCTTCTTTTGCCTGCTGGCAATAATCTTCATTTCTTGGCATCTCGCTTCCTCTTGGAACGATTTTTAGCCTTTTCCAAAGTCTGATTCTGATACTTCTCTCTTGCCGCTGCACTGTCTTCGAGGACAAGATTCCCTTCTTCGTCCAAGCTCTTCAGTGTGTAATTGTTCTCAATAGTTGGGCCATTCTTCGTCTGTACTTCACTGAAGTACTTGGTCGTCATACCAAGGAACAGCAACATGCCAGACCATTCGTTGCTGTAGCTTGTACGCAACATATTGTGTGGTCTCTTGGTTTTACCATTTTCTCGAGCTTTCTCCTTCACACTGAGAGAGATTTGTTCCAGAGTCCGACAGATGTCTTGATCTCTTATCTGAGTCTTGGAATCCGAGATCGGGATTGGAATTCTGATCATCGTCAAAACAAAAAATCTCTCGTTGAGTGAGTAGATCACTCTCCTTTCTTTTTGCAACGTCTCTATGACGGATTTCTCAGATTCTATCGGCTTCAACGATACAGTTGCTCCTCTCCGACACGCTTCTTCTACGAAGCAATGTCCCAGGCACTTTCCCCTTGGTGCAACAAGGCTGTATCCTTGCAAGCTTGTGATGAGAATAGAATCACTCTGAGCATTGACATGTTTCTCTTCTCCTCCCCTTTCAGCGCCATCATCTCCTTTCTTCGAATCTTCTCGAGCATTTTGAATGAATTTCAGAGCATCCAAAGATGGGTCGCTTTTCTGCTCCAAAATCTGATCCTCGTCTTCGAAAGTGATGTCATGCAGCACAGTCTTCAAAACATTGCCTGAACACTCGTGGGTCATGGATTCGAAGTCCCTCCTTCCGATGTTAGAAGTATTTGGCATGACTGAATCCAAAAATGTTGTGCCATCATCATCTGGGCTGAACTCAGTGTGCTGCTCGGGAGGTGGAGAGGAGAGCAGCTTTTGAGAATCATCGCCAGACTTAAACCTTTCTTCGATCTCATGGAAGAAGGAGGGATCGAGCTCGTCACTGTCAGCTCTCTGTTCATGAACATGGTAGGTAATGTCATACATGGCGATGTTTGGGTTTGGTATCTCTCAGCAGATGTCTCTGAAATACAGGTTGAAATGTTCGGTGCTAAGTTGAAATTGAAAGTCTAAATTACAGGTCAAGTTTTACAATTTCACCGTTCCTGGCTGATCTAGGTCTGAAGTTTGATCTAAAAATTTGAAAATTGGGAGAAGAACTACAAATCAAATCCTCGAACTGATTTTTTAACTTAACTTTGAGTAACGCCGGGTTGAGTAAACTGAAGTCAGGCCGCCGGCCGGCGCTGTACTTAGGATCCGATCCGAGTCCGAGACTGACGGTCAGTTAGGGCCGCCGGATGATTGAACTTCCTGAGCCGCGCGGCCGCCGGGCGCGGGCACTACTAGATGATCAGCCGGGCCCCGGCGGCCTGTCACTGTGACAGTCCCCCCGGCGGAATCGGGCCGGGAGTTCGAGATAGGTATAGAGGGGTACTTTTGTAGAGATAGGAGAGGGTAGGGGTAGGTGTGAGGACCCCCGTGTGCGGAGCTAGGGCCGGGGCCTTGAAGGGGGTAGGCCGGCTCAGATGATTCATCAGGGCAGAGGATGCAGCATACTCAGGCCGGGTAGGGTTAGTAACTAGTAATGTACCGGGTAGTTTATCGGGAAAAGGTTGGGAGTCAAGGGGGGTACCTTATTGACTTTCGACTCAGAAGAGGGTGGGGTAGCCCACCGGACTCGCCGGGAAGGTCGTCAGTAGAAATGTACCAGCCTATGGGAATGCGAAGGAGCCAGGAGACCACAACGATGGGTGAGTGAAGCCTGTTGACATGCCGAAGAAGTTCGGCAAGTAAGAGGAGAGGAGAAGCAACAAGAGACTTCACACCAGTTTAGATACTCTTGATCGATCCTTGAAATGAATCATCAACGTTTTCTCCTCTGCAAGGTAGCACCTTTTTGGTTGTAGAGGCGATGTATTGTAGTCGGATCGAGGATATGAGAGAAATTCTGAAAGCAAATCAAAGAATCAATGAGAAATTGCTCAAACAAAGCAATGGATAAATTCGCTTTTCAGTCAGTCAAGTATTAGAGAAGCAGTAATAATCCAGGACCAAGTTTCTGTGGGCAAGCGATTGTTAAAGTTCTGATATTGTCTGATAAGAGCAATTGCATGAAGCGAAAGGAGAGGTTTTGTTTCTTCCAGGTCTCACATGATGGTATCTTCCAGGCAACAGGGCAGGGGTGGGCTTGTTGTTTATGATGACTCCCGAGAGTCCACCCAAGATCATGGTGAAAGAGATAGTGCAAGGAGGATCGGCGTGGAGAAATGGACAGGTAGGAGTCATTTAATGAGGCAATTGGCTTGAGCTTCACATGACAGATCAAGCCTGGAGATGTGATCGTTCAGGTCGGGAATACAAATGTACAGAACCAGCCGCTATCGCAGCTCAGGGAACTGATCTTGGGCGAACAAGGGTATTTCCGTTGATCTGTATCAGAAGGCTTCTCATGGTGTTCTGAATGCCAGGACATGGATCACCCTGGGCTTCCAGCGAGGATCGACAGGAGAGTTCTACGAGACCTCCATGATCCGGGGCACTCAAGACTTCCTGGATAAACATGCTTCAATGCCCATGATGTCCTCCATCTCACGAGAAGCTCAGCACCACATGCAGTCCAATCAACCGATGCACAGCTCTAACTTGCAGGCTCAACAGCAGGCAAACGAGGTGGTGCAGTGCACTCCTGTGTGAGAAAGGTGATGGATGACCTGTACAGATGATGGCGAGAAAGCCCATGCAGTACTCGTCGAGGGAGCAGGTGCGTTGGAGCCTTGCATGGGCTATTTGCTCTGTGCCTTGAGATGCACATGTAAGCTCCTTTGATGGTTCTGAAGCAGGAAGAGTACGACAGGATGAGAACGGTGTTGAACAGCTCCCAGGTGATTCACTTAGATTTCCTGGAGTTGAACATTTTGCTCATGAAGCCTCCAGACTGAGAATGTCATTCTACGTTCAAACCTTAAGAACCATGATCTGCAGAACGACAGGAATGGCGAGGAACTGAGAGGGTCTGTGCTTTTGGCATAAGACGATCGAATGACATGGTTGTACGATAGCTATCGCGAGGCACTGGAACGGAAAGAAGAGGAAAACAGGCGTCTCAAATTAGAAGAAGATCGAGCCAAGCAGGTTGAGATGTGTCGTCAGATCCGAATTCCTGACATGTCATGCAGGAGATGCTAGCGGATCTCAAGCGTCGGTATGACCGAGAGAGGAATCGCATCACTCAAGCGATTGAAAGGAATCAGCACGTATCGCACTCGCTGGTACTTGTCGCTTTCTCCGGCTTCATTCTTGACCCCTCCTGCAGTCTAGCCTCCTCACACAGTTGCTATCGCTTGAGAGAGATCTACAAAGCCTCTCGCACAAGAGCAGCCACTTCAAGCCGCACGCGAGTGGATCTACGTGAAGATTTGCATTCAAGTTGACATGAAGCAAGATGATTGCTTTAATCAAAAACGCTTGAAAGAATAAACTTGTATTAGGTACAGGGTAACACGCAGACGTAAGGCGAATGCACTGACGATTGGTTATTGAGAGGAATGTAGGGGTTTTGAACATCGGGGTTGAGTTTCAGCAGCGTCTTCAAAGATGATCCTAGAGAAGTAGCGATGGTGGCAAGAGACTCATGAGCGCGATACTTGTATCTGGATGCCAACCACAAGATCAATGAGTTGTTCACATTGCTGATGAAGTCGTTCAAGGTGACTTGAGGAATTCTCTTGAACTGAAAGTAGTTAGGATTCCCGTTGAAGATTTGATCGCCCTTTGCATCTCTATTCCCATTCAACAGCCAAATATGCAGCCAGTTGATTTCCAAGTTGAAATATCGTGCGATGAAATTCAAGTCAGTGTACTCCAACCCATGAGTCATGGTCAAGATATCGTTTCCAATGCAATATTGACACTTCTGTACAGAAAACACCAAGTTCTTCCATAGCGGCTCACGGATACCAATGGAATCATTGGTGTAGAATGACACTGTATGCACGCTCCCTTCTGTACCTATTGATGGTCTCCATACGAAGACTCGAGAGGTGATTGCATTCGAGATGACAGGTCTCGAGAATGAGAACTTGATGTTGGATTTGGTCACAAACCCAATGTCAGCAACATAGTGTTGACCTGCAGAAGCACTGATACTGAGCGTGACTGTACAGCCAACAAACACATCGATCTGGTCGGGTTGTGCCACCATGTATCCTTGCCAAGATAGAACAGGAGGCACGACCGCCAGTTCAACGCATGCAGTCTCTCCATACCATCCACGACTAGTAGCGTCGCGGTTCTTGCCCACACAAGCTGTTGACGAATCTTGTGCTCGTGCACACACAAAGAACGTTCTGTTCAATTGTTCTCGAAATGGAGACCACGCGAGTCTCAACATGGCCTTGCTACATCGAGATGATTTGTTCTGATCCAGTCTAATGAGGTCCTCTCCTATCCGAGTAGCTCCGCACATCGGGTTGTTGGTCTCTGGAGATCTTATCACGCAGTAGGTCTGGCTGGCTCTCATTCCAGGAGGCATTCCTGGATCATCTAGGATGAAGATCTGCACCAAGTCCTGTCTGTTAGGATCTTGAGCGACAAACTCAAACGAGAAATCTTCGCCGACACCCACACATTTGAGATCAAAGATCGTGTAATTGTAGGCCTTGAGCATCTTTCCTACTTCAGAGTCTCTTATCAGAGTGTTTGCATAAGCGCTGAGGTCACAAGTGGGAGAAATCGAAGAGCTGTAGGTACTCCAGGTTGTAACAAAGCGAGGCGGGGCTTGAAGAACCACTCTCCAGCAGTGCCGGGTACTCATATCACCATCACTGTGATCTCTCAAGTTCTTGAGGATGTTGTGAGAGTTTGGGTTTCTTTTGCCGACCCATCTCTTGCTCTGGTAGCGAGAGTCATCATACGCGTAGGCGCAGATGACTTGATCCATGTTCAAGATGCTTTCCCGACAGCTGACGCCGTTGTAGGAGACGCCAGAGGAGGAAAGAATTCTGCAATTTTGCTCGTTGTCGGAAGTGGCACTTGCAAGGCGCAGAATGATACCATTCCTCTTGGAAGGTTCCAAGGTGTAGTGGACCGATATGTTTGGAGCTCGAGAGTATTCAACATTCTGCGCATATCCTGACACTACAGATTTCACTATTGAACCATCCAATGGCAGAATGCTTTCTTGCTGTGCGTTCACACCAACTTTGTAGGCGTCATACCCATGAAAGCTGTCATTTGCTGGATTTCCAGAACATTGGGGTGGATATTGAGGTGTGGCTCTGTTTGAAAAGAAGTCGAAGTTGTAGGAATTCTCAACTGTTTGCATCCACTGGAGGTCCTGAGATGTGGCGACAGACGTGTCGATTTCGAAGTCATGGAGGAAGATTCTCACATTATTCCCAACATCCGGATCCTCCGCCTTGATGATGAGATCGATGGGATAGCCCTCGCAAGCTGCGACGTCTGTTTGATTGGGAATAGGATTTCCCTGCTCATCGAGAGAGTTGGATTCTAGAGGTGTGGGATGTACAAACTGCGGAGGATTACTCTCAATCCTAATCTTGAAACATACAGGATATGACGAGCAAGTGTTGCTTGGCGTTGCAGTCTCGACCACCTCACTCCCTGCGACATTGCAGGTTCTCTGGGGATTGAGACGAGGGTCGCACAACCCTGTGATGACGTAGGGGTAGAACGAGCTTGGTGCTGGAGGCGTTCCAGTCCAAACCTTATCGCCATGGGGATCTTTTGCTATGAAACAGCGCTGAACAACTTTCCCTGCGTCACTCGCACTGAAGAATTCTGTGTAGTAGCATTTGAGTGCGCCAGATATGTTGTGGTTTGAATTGCTTTCACATCTTGGCTTGACGCACTGCTGCGCGGGTGGGCAGTCGGAGTCAAATATGCATCTAGAAGTCCCTGGCTCAGCCCCACTCAGACAAGGCATGCTAGCATCGCAACAGTGTCCGTAGAAGGGCTGAATGGAAGAGTCAGGCTGATATCCTGTACAGCGGTCGCCTGGGAGGCAATCTGAATCCCAAACACATGGTCGTTTGCTGTCGCTCTCACAATGCGCAGTACTCAATGAAATTCCACTCCAATTCGTCCATTCAGTGATTAATTCTATCTGTACAACATCTTCCGACAAGGACACATCATCAAAATTTTGACATTCTGGATCTGCACAAAGACTTGAGCCCACCAGGAAGTCTTGCGCCACCAGCTCCAGCGTACAGGTGCTGTTCACGTAGCAAAGCTTTTCTGTCTCTGCAGGCGGTAGCAAATAATCAGCAGGAAGTTTGCTGAACTTCCGAGAAGAAGAACTGAAGAATTGGCCATCCACATATACTGGGTTCACGAACTTGGGCGGCTGGTTTTGCAGACCTGGATAGCACACGTATGCCGAGAAAAGGCTGCGAACAACGGATCCAGCAGGGACATATGTGAGCTTTCCGGTAGCATTGCTGGCCTGCCAGTACCACTGAGACTTGTTTGCTACGTAGTTAGATCCACCGATGTCCTCATTTGCTAGATTGTCTACGTCGGAGAAGGGGAGGTCTAGAGTGCTGACCAGGTGCTGTGTGAAGACTTGATTTCCACTGCAGAAAGCGAACTGATTGTCCTGACTTACATTGGAGCATCTCGAGACTGACTGCCCATTATCTAGCCACAGGAACTTGTACCAGGAAGTTGTGCTGTTATTCAGAGGAGCATAGAAAGCAAAGTCGAAGTCAAACTTGAGTTGACTGCATCAAAAGTCAAGATACATTCAAGAGCATGTGTATATCTGCTACCTTCCCCCGCTTCCATCTCCATCAAAAAAAGAGTTACAGGCTCCAACTTCAACCAATTTTGGGTATATATGGGCGAATGGCCAGCTGTATCCTTCGACGTAATCTCCTTCAATTCCAATCAAAAACAACATTTTGTCACATCTCAAGATTACCTGTGAAGCATTCGGCGTGAACATTACTACTCTCTCTGGTTGGAAACTTATCTCTCCAAGAATAATCAAAGTATGCCATCAAGTTTCCATCTTCATCTGATGCTTGTAAATGGAAAGGAGGGTAAGGGGCCACGTACGATCCATTTCCAGTAAAAGCTCTATAGAATTCTTGGGCTGGATATTGGAAGTACCATCTCTGTTCCTTATTGTACGTCAGGTTGTATGTCATGTTGTAGACAGGATTTTGAGATACTTCAACAAATGGAGATACAGCGGGGTCTGGAGAATAGTAATTCGAAATACCGCTGTACTGTCCCTGACAATTATCTTGTGCTGCTGCAGAGGAGCAAAGGCTTACGAAAGTTTCAAACGCAGGCATGCTTGAGGATGTACATGTTCCATTGACATACGACTCGAAGCCAGTCCAGTAGGGCTCATAAAAGCCTCCAAAATCTTTGAATCCGCCGCGTATGGGTAGAGTAGAATTTAGAGCACACGGCAAACGATCTCCGTTGCATGTTCGAAGCAGTGTGCCGTTGGGCACACACAGGTAGGCAAAGACTCCTGAGACACTTTGGTCTACCAAGACCTCATGATGCAGCAACACGTTCAAGACAGGAATCCCATTCACAGCCTTCAAGTTGTATCGAACATTTCCATCACGAGTGCTGATGGAATAGCAGGAAGTTTCTGCTTGCTGCTGCAGTTTTGGAGGACCTCCCCCGTTCTCTCCCGAAGATTTGTCAACATACTGCTCTGTACATAATGCTCCGAGAGAGGGCATGGTTGCATTCATACACATTTGACTCGTCAGGTTGCACTGAGGATCGAAGACGTAGGACAATGTCAACTTGAAATATACATTTCTTGAACCCTGCGAGAACAAGGGATCTATGGACCAAGTGAGTTGACCTGCCAGAAGTGTTGTTGGGCTCCCATCACTCTGTTGCTGAGTTTGTACTGGTAAGAGAAAAGAGAGTGAGAGCAACAAAGAGCACAGCATCCGTGCTTGTTGCTTGCTTGCTCTCCGAAGGGTTGACGCTTCAGGGCATTTCTCCTTGTCCTTTACTCCTTCGACCAGAGGTCGTCTAGCGTTGTCTTCATCTCCAAGCGAAGTCATTGACCAGGCTCGTCTGGTTGTTGCAGCAACACAAGAACTGCCGAGAAGCTCTGGATGAAAGTCGAGGCTTGCTTTACAGTGAAAGATAGACCAGGTGCGGCAAGGTTATATCAGATGGATTCAGCCGCATCTCTGTTGTTACATGAAAGTATTGTTCAGGAGGTTGGTCTACTACAGATGAGCGAGCATGCGGAACGAACCTTGCGGTGTTTCAACTCCTTCTCTCAGCATTCTCTCTCCTCCTCACACGCTCCATTCTAATCGCTCCCTCGCACGCCATCCCACCTCGAACGGGTGGACCACTACCCAACCCCTTCCCATTTGTGGTACCCCCACCCCCAATTTATATCCACCCCTGAATCTCCTATCCGTGCTATCATTTGAAGCATACGTGCTGTGACATCAACCATTCGTATAGGTTGCAAAATCATAGAAGGAGGATTATGAAATGACTGTTTCCTGCCCTGGTCCTTTACATGGACTACCCCCACCCTCACCATCCTTTATCACACCTCATTTTTTCACCCCTACCCCAGGATCAAGGATGGTTGCTAGCTAGATGACGGCAGGGCGCCGCTAGAGTCACAAGTTTACCAGCGTCTTGTGAAGCGCCTCCTACATTTCGTTGCTGAGGCGAGCCTGCTTTGTACATTTCACGGCGGCCATGGCGAACCTGGCGCACAGGCAGGTAGTGACATGGCTCGTCATGCTGGCAATGGCCTTGACGAGGACGCTTGCGATTCCATCACAATCCTCCTTCTCATCTCCCACCTCTCCGTCCTCTCCAGCTCTCCTCAACTCCAACTTTGCGCGTTCTTCCCGTCTAGGGAATTCCGAGCTCTTTCGGAGAGGGAGGGATGCAGGGTCAGGAAAAGAACTGGAAAGGATTCGAGGAGGAGACCTGTCGGAATCTTCTAGGTTTGAAATTCAAGTGATGCTGGTCTTCGCGTGATGAAGAACTTTTAGGGAGGGGAGAGAAATCAGCATGCTCTTTCCCATCAGTTTCGGCCTGTGAGTTCTATCGAAGCTTGCCCTGCTTTCCTGCTGTTTCTGAATTTATCTGAACTTCTCACCTATACACCACCACCAATGATATATTCTTGCAGCTTGTACTTCATGAGTGTGGCGATGGCGATACCGTAATCTCTTGCAACTGCCATTCATACTGCAAATTTTACACCTCTCAGAGCATTACCGAAGCTCATCAACACTGTCATCAATCGCTCGGACAAGGTGTCGAGCAGAGCACACCTTGTGCTATCATCGCTGTTGGCTACGGATGCATTCTTCACCTTCCTGACCAACAATCTCTGGGGGACACTGAGCGACAAGTACGGCAGGAAACCTTTTATTGTCATGTCTGCCGTAGGCAAGTGAATTCAACCGCTTCGTCCTCATGACATGGTCATGGCAGGGATTTCGATCGGGGCTCTCATAGTAGGAGTATCGCCCATCTTGTCTTTGATGTACATTGCAGCGGCCATCGATGGGTGCACGTCTTGCATGTTTGGGCTGGGTCAGGTGGACTTTGTCCTGAGAAGTTCTTCAATATCCTGATCTCGCTCCCAAGGCATACGTCTGTGATATCAGCTCCACCAAAAATCTTGCCGCAAACCTTGGCATCTTCATGGGAGTTTCAGCTGGAGTTGGCTTCATTGTCGGCATCCCGCTATCAGCCATTCTAATGACCAAGGCATGATAATTTACCATACACCTCACTATCAATTCCTTACTGCTCGGCAGTTCTCGACCAAAATGCCCTTCTACGTCTCTGCCTGCATTGGTTGAAAGAATTTTACCTGGTAATGGCTGCGAGTCGTGCTTACTTTCTACTTTCTACAAAGGAATCGTCAACGCTCTCAATATTCTATTCATCTGTCCTGAATCTCTAAGCCAGGTAACCCCCACTCACAGTCTGAGATGCAATTGATTGGCAGCACTGTAGGATTCCAGGAAGTCAGAAGTGAAACTTCTTGATGCCAATCCGTGAGACTCTCACATCACAACCTCAAACCTGAGTGCTGTGCGTTCGAAACATGCAGTATCGGAGCGATCAGGATGCTCAGTCGCAACTCGCTGGTCAAGGGAGTGTCCCTTTCTTACTTTCTCTTGTGGTTCGCGCATGTAGGCCTTCAGGTCTTTGAGGATGCACTATTCGAGCACAGGCTGATCAAGTCCTTGACTGCAGGCCACGTGGATGAACTTCTTCAGCTTCGCTCACGGTTGGTCCAACGGCAAGGTGGTGTACCCTCAAGTCTTCAGCAGCGATTGAGCTCCTTTCAATCAGAGTGGAGGGGTCCTGTCTGTATTTGGCATAGCGACAGCTATCCTCCCTAAGGTCTCAGTCCCTGTTATTCTTTTCTCCTCCTCACAGTAGTTGATCAGCTCGTGCTCAAGTTCTTCAGTCATTCAGACGCTATCAAGTTTGCTCTGCTCATCTACTCTGCCGCCATGTTTCTGCTTGCCAACGTGTCAGGCGACAAGTAAAGGTGATCGCTGTGTCCTTGACGGCTAAAAGCTTCTGGAAGGAATTTGTACTTGGCCTTGACCCTCGCTGCCGTGGGCTCTACAGCTCTTCCTTCTTCCTTGAGCTTTATTGCCAACCAGGTCCTCGTCCAGTCAGCCCTTTCTTCTCCTGCCTGACCTGAAACCTTGTCCTGTTCCCTTTCCCATCTTGACTAGACTTTCCTGCTGTCTTGCGACACTGGATGATTCTTTCCTTACAGGCGAACCCTGACGAGAAGGGAGCGATGCAGGGAGCGAGTGAGACGGTGAAGTCAATATGCAGCATTGTAGGCCAGCCCATCATGTCATCACTCTTTGCGTATTGGATCCATGACAGTCGCAAGGTACTAATCCCCCTCCTTGATCTTGATCTTGATCTTGATCTTGATCTTGATCTTGATCTTCACCTTCACTTTCGCCACCTCTCTCATAGCGAGCTTGTCAAAAGTTCTACGTAGCCCTGCTCATGACTGAACATTTCTCACCTGCAAGGTCAAACTTCCGGGAGGAATGTACATGGTCTCCTCAGGCCTACTGGTAGCACTCTTCTCTCTCCTCTCTCTCCTCTGCTTCCCGAGTCCCCGGCTCCTTCCCCGGCCGCGGCGGCTACTCCCCTTGCCTGGCACCATCTTCAAGTGCTCTACTTGATGCAAGTCTTTGTTAGGTTCTCTCCTTGCTGGTCTTTCACATCTCTGTTGAGAACTACGGGGGTCTGGACAGAATGAAGAGAGTCAGCAGCTGAAGTCTCTTTCAACGGTTAGGCTCGTTAAGCTGACAGTCATAATGAATAGCCTCTTCACACACTGATAGCAGCACACTGCAGCCCACCGCCGCCGCTGCCGTACTGGCACTGAACGCTGCCGGCGGGTCGCGCCCGAGGGTGACTCCCAGTCCCCCGTCGGTACCATAGAGTGCGGTACGGTCCGAGTCGCTAGACTGAGAGTCAGGGCCGCCCGGCGCCGCCGGGCCGGTCGGGCACTGATACGGCGGTCGGCGCGATCGGGGAGGACAGATTTCGGCCTGTTCCCACAAAGACATGGCGGATAGATGATTCAGGAATGGCGAGGGTGTAGGGAGCGCGAGAAGATGATGGTGTTATGCGAGGAACGGATACGATTGTTTACACACACCAAGGATGCAATCGCTGACTTTCTTCTGTTCCTTGTGCATCTATGAGGAATCATGGCGTTGTTTTCTTCGTTGCCGTTCCTGATTCCGATGCACGTTCTTCAGATAACAAAGTGGATCAAGGTAGCCGGCATGAGCTGCAAAGAGGCGTACATCACAATGGTCACAAGTGACAGGTAACTTCGGTTGCTATGATCTGAAGTGGTAACTCTTCGAACAAGTTACTTGATGGGGGCGCTTGTGCTTGCTCATAGCATTTTAAAAACACAAGACAAGTCAAACGTACGCTCTTTTCTTTTTATACGACCGCTTTCAATCTCTGATCCACTTCAATGAAGCAAAGACCTATATGCTGCATGGTTACAGACGAGGTTTCAGCCGATAGCCGAAAGGCACTTGAACAAGCGGGATTGAGGATTATAATGGTTGAATCGATATCATGTATGTATGTTGTGATTTTGCAAGGTGTCCGTGAAGAGATCTGTGATGATCTCATCTAGCCAAAGAGTCTAGTGGCATTGATGCATGGGATCAGTCTGGTTACACAAAACTGAACATGTATGTAGCAACCAACCTTTTCACGGTCTGACATTCGATGTTAGTTGGAAGTTGACGGAATTTTCCAAACTAGTCTATGTCGATGCTGATTGTCTGGTGATGGAAAGTATTGACGACCTGTTCTCAAGAGAAACAAGGTTTTCCTGTATTTATGCCTCCGGTCGTCACCTGACATTTAGGGCAGATTCGCAGCAGCTCCTGACACTTTCCCTCCCGATCGGTTCAATGCTGGAGTATTGGTTGTGGAGCCGTCACTAGAGGTTGATGACATGAAAGTTGTTCCTAAGGTCATCGTGGAATGTTTCTCAGGTGTTTGAAGACATGATCAGCAGGATTGGCGTGATGCATTCCTACGATGGTGGCGACACAGGGTTCTTGAACAGTTACTTTCACGACTGGTCAGAGTCTTGTCCTCAAGATGATGTTGAATGTAGCCATCAGGTTTACCATGGGCGAGGCAAGTCGCCTTCCATTCAGATACAACGCTCTCCGCACCATGTACTGGCTGACGCAGAAGAAACCAGGGCAGCCAGCGGGATACTCGTGAGAGGGCATCTGCTCAAGTTTCCTGGCAGGTACTGGAATGCAGTCGGAGCAGTCCGGTGCCTGCACTTCTGCTCGTTTCCCAAGCCCTGGGACCAGGTGGGCGAGTAACATTAAGATCTCGCTGTTGAAAGTGAGAGACTCCAGGCGCCCAAGGGAGAGCTGGAGCAGAAGTGGTGGGTAGCCTTTGCTGAATGTCAGCTCATGCTCAGAATCAAGGGTGTGAGTACCCCAACTCTGAAGAAGCAAGGATGATTTCAAAGTATTGCAGTTGCACAAAAATTCAATGCATTTCTAGAATCTACAGGGAAAAGAGAGAATTCTTAGAAGAGAAATTAAATCAGATCAAGAAGATCCTCATCAATGTCATCGTCGTCCTCCTCTTCCTCTTTCTTCTTCTTCTCTTCTTTCTTCTTCAGCTTCTCAGGGTCGACATTGAAACGCTTTGCTAGCACCTTGATCGAGTGCTTGCAAGTCTCCTGGATTCGCTCTTTTTCCGCTATTTTCCTTTGCAGATTCAGCTTCATGCGCTTTTCTTTCGCGTTAATCGTTGGCTTTGGACGGAAGGTCACAGGAAAGGCCTTCTCCCTCCTCCTCTTCATCATGGACTTAGACATCTTCTTGTCCTCTTTGCCGTGAGAATCTTCCTTGGCAATACTCTCCTGCAAGCTTCTTAACTGCTTCTTTGCTAGATTCTTCGACATTGTTTCTTAGTTCTTGTGCGATGAGGTAGTCCTAAGAAAGGAAGGAAAATCCAGCGAGTGTGACGGGGAGAAGAACAAGAAACAAATATGAGAGTGCTCAGTTGGATGCAGGGAAGAGACCGATAGAAGAACAAGAAACAAATAGAAGAGCACAACTGAGTGGATAGAAGCAAGCTGGAGGAGGAGCTGGAGGAGCTGGAGGAGCTGGAGGAGCTGGAGGAGCTGGAGGAGCTGGAGGAGGAGCAGGAGGAGGAGGAGGAGATGGAGGAGGAGGAGGAGAGTGGAGGAGGAGGAGGAGGAGGG